TTCACCTCAACAGCACAGTGTACAACCAACCTGGTGACGTCGGTGGGCAAATGGACAATCATCCTTGATTGTAAGTGGTACATTGATATCGTATAACTTGAATTCATAAAAGCTTTTGATGGGGTCAATCACATGTATCTCATCAATAAGCTCAAACGATTCGTTATTGAGTCATTGCTAAATGAATGGCTTACTTCACATATAAGTAGTCGACTTTTTAGGGTAAATGTAAACTTTACTTTTTCTCGGGCTAGAGGATGTCCTGGTGCGATCCTTCAGGATTCAGTACTGGGAACTCGCCATTTCTTAATTTATAAAATATGACCCTCCTCAGTAAGTGCAGTCTGATTTGTTACGCTTTTCGACGACATGAAACTCTGAAAAGATCATTGAAATGAAGGTTATAAGCTGGCACTTCAGGAGGACATTATTTCACTTCAACGTTAGGGAGATAACTGAGGAATTACTCCTAACACTTTCAAGTGTGAAGTAGACCATCTGATACATGTTGCGGACCACTTATGGAATCTGAGTGACTCCTCTCAGGAGGTATCGTAGAATGGATAATATCTAGGAGTATTGACACCCCATGGTTTGAATTCGCATGCTAACTGCGGTTGAAATGCCTTTTGAGCAAACGTCGCACTGCTCATATCGAAGCGGACCCTTGACTTCGATTGTAGGTATACCTCTCACTTTTTACGAGTGGTTAGATTCAGGAATTCGCCGCCGTCCAAAGATAGTCCAGATTACTCCCCAGCAGTCCTTAGGAAAAACTTTTACAGGTCTAAGGACAGGATCTCACTATAATTTATTAATTTTTTTTATTAATCATTAAATATACCTAGGTCCTCACTTGAAGACATCTGTGATACACTTTTACTAAATACAGAAGCCCGTTAAGCGAAATCTTCTATTTCGTCAAGATTATAAAACACGTAGGAAGAACAGGGGCTACCAATTCAAAAAACCCTATATAGGTAGGTTGTATTGGCATTGGATCCTAACCGAAAAATCCTCAAAGCTGAATATGAGACAGCTGGGAAAATGGATATTCAACATTTTACGCGGAGAAAAACCCAACGATGGAGAAGGTGGGAAGAATGAGTCGAATTTATCAGAATTGATCGGATGGCACGGCTCGGCCTTGCAGCCGTGGTCCCTGTTGAATGTGTTGGGGAGGGTAGATCCCCAGGACTCACTTGGTGAAGGACCTAAGTTCGTAATTTTATTTAAAAAATTTGAATTTCTTTGTTTTCGCGCCAAAAGCGCTCTTGTAACCTTCATGTCGTATTTCCCACTGGGAAATGTCTTGAGTGCTATTGGTCCGTTGCGTCTTTTAGTATGCCATTTGGTAACTCTCCCCAAGGACGGTTTTGTACTGTATATGTACGTTTTGATTTGCGTTTGCTGTTATCGTTCGTTTCTGGCTGTTTGCAGAATATACTTCACCATTCCAAGCTTGGGCTTCTTCCTCTACTTAGCTGGGCTGGGACGCATCAGATAACTAGCTTTCTGGTCTTTGGTCACCGAGCATTTGTTCTTGTTCACAGATTAAGTGAACTCATCATAGCTTCAATCCTAGCAGGATGTTACCTTATATCTTTTATTCATATTAAATGAATTGTTCTATCTCTAGCCTGAGCTTGTTCTCTGTCGTGTATTGGCCATTGTTACGATGTAACGAATTGTTGCAGACGATGATATGACTCCCACGTAAGGTCTTATAGATTAGACAGTTATATCATGAAAATCTACAATTTTGGGATTATGTCTATTATTAGAGTAGTACTAAAATCGAAGTAGGCCATAATTCTACAAGGTTACCTGTCCGTTCACTCAAGACTGATATAAACAAACAGGACGGGAAGCTCAGGAGTTTCAAAGTGAAAGCTCAAACTGCTTGTATATATATATACGCCACGTGAGCTCAGTAAGGCTAATAATGCTCACCTGAAAGAAATATCTGAAACGTGGATATCTTCTCAATTCACGGATCAGGAGCTAGCAATACCCTGGATGTCATTGTTTCGCAATCACAGGAAAACAAGGATAAGGGCGTAGTAGCCTTATACTTGCGATCTTGCCTGTAGTGTACAATCAAGAGTTTATCAATCTTGATGAATCCGTATAGTGCTCAGTAAGATTGTCTACCACCTCGTGGTGTCTAGTTGGAGTCATCTACAGGAAGCCCACGGCTGACATCAAGTACGTCAAACGTATGCTGGAAGGATTATCCCGCTCTACTCGTCTCGCATTCACTCATTTTCTGATTCTAGGGGACTTAAATCTTCCTAAAGTCAAATTTGATGAGCACATCTATTGGAGGTGAAAACTCTAACTCAGACGCCGTCGCGCTTAGGCTGCATTTACAAACGAAGAGTTCCAAAATGACAACCTCTCAATTATGGCTTCCCTAGGGGAAAGCGATCACGCCGTCATAGCCCTTATTTTTGTCAGTAAAACTGAGTTATGTCATCCTACCGATGATAAGCGCTGGAATTGTAAACGTCTGGTTATATCAAATTTGCATGACAGTCTACGGCAACTTGATGTGGATGTGTAGGTCACCAACGCAGATGATCTTTATCAAACGATTGGAGGCCTACTCCAGTTAGACGGAAATGATGTGACCAACAGGCAACGTCGAAGTCACGACCTGCGATCAGCACCTAACGTGGATTACCCCTTTGCCGTATCAAACTACTATGACTGTTGCGAAAAACGTAATACACAAAGGATGTTATTACGGAAAAATATTAGTAAGAATGAGTACAAAGAACACAGTGAGAACACCACCGCATGGGCCAGTCCATGGCATATGATTAACTGATGCGCATCAGTTTTTTTATCTTGACGAGGATCGATGGACTGTTTGATATTCGTTGGCCCAACTGCCAGGCAATTTGGCTAAGTCTCAGTGATATTTCACTGACTCTGAAGATGCTCATTGAGATTTCTTACTGCACACGATCTTATGTGCTACAAAGCAGTCAGTTCCGCAACTGGTCCACAAAAGCTACAAGCAACCTACAATCATCATGAACCGCACTCTTCGTCTGCTTAGCCTCAAAGGGCACTGTTGGGCAGAATACAAACGAACTGCTAACAACGGTGCATACAGGCAATACAAACAAATAAGAAGCACACGCACAAAGGCAATACGATAAGACAGGCGTCAGTACCAGATAAAGCTTATCGACAAACTTGTCCCCAATCAGAAAAGCTTATTTCGTTATGCAGCCCCTCCTCGACAAGCAAAGACTGCAGTTTCACAACTGCTAGTTTCTAAAGGCCCCAATAACAACGACAGTGACGCGGCTAACCTTCTGACTGAACAATACTCTAGGATATTTCAACCGACCCACACTAATTATATTGATGAAAGCTCTATCTGCAACTCCACAGGGCTTTTCGAAATGAATCTGAGCTCTGACTTAGTGTACAGGAAACTGCAGCATCTAAAAAAGACACTTCTCCCAGTTAGGATATAGTTCATTCTGCTATACTGAGGGAAGGAGCTTCAATTCTGGCAACACCGCTTAGCGTGATGTTCTCACACTCGCTAAGCCGAGGTACATTACCGGACATTTGAAAGCTGACTCACATCACACCGATTTTCAAAGGAGGTTGACGCAGAAAACCTTCAAGCTACCAACCGGTAGTACTTCTCTCTAGACCCTCAAAAATTGTGGAGTCACTGATATGCGACGGTATACACGACTATTAATTATCCGAAAACTTCTTTTCACACCAACAGCATGGTTCCGGGAAGAGTCATTCTCGTATAACCACCCTGCTGACTGCGGTGGACAGATGGACAACCGTCCTTGATCACAAGGGGAAGGTTGAAGTCATTTACCTTGACTTTGGTTGATAGGGTCAACCAAATATGCCTTATCAATCAGCTCAAACGATTGGGTATCAAATCAACTCTAATTGACTGGCTCAATTCATATCTAAAAAGATCGACATTTTAAGACCAGAGTTAACTTCACTTTCCTCCAGGCTACGGAATGTCCTACTGGGGTCTACCAGGGTCCAGTACTAGGAACTCTTCTCTTCTCGACTTATATAAATGATCTTTCACAACAGGTATCGTCAGATTTATTGCTTTTTGCTGTTCATATGAAATTTTGGAGAGAGATACGAAACCAAGAGGATGATTTGGCACTTCAAGAGAATCCGACTCGACTTCAAAGTTCGGCAGATGATAACGAACTTACCTTCAACACTTCGAAGTGTGAAGTAGTCCATCTGAGACATGCTGTAGATTACAGTCAAAACTTAGGAAACTCCTGTCTAGAATTATCTCAAGTTGAAAAAGATTTAGGAGTCCTGGTATCCTACGATTTGAAGTTTTATGCTAACTGTGACAAAAATGCCTTTCGACCAAACTTTGCACTGACAACATTGAAGCGCATTTTCGGCTAGTTCGACGGAAGAACTTTCCATATAATCTCGAACAATTTTATCCGTCCCCATTCGGATTACGGAAACATAGTATTTCCTCTCTCATTCCAAAGAGTAGGGACACTCTAGAACGTATCCAACGGCGAGCCACGAAATCAGTTCGGGTACTCAGACGCAAGTCTTATGAAGAGCGTCTCCAATCACTGAACCCTTGCCCATCGGAGTACAGGCGTCTTAAAGTTGACCCTCTAACGGCTTACAGCATCATAAATATTTCTGAACACACCTTTAAACACCTACTTAAGCTTAGTCCAAACACAAACATTAAGGGTATAACTCAGAAACTGGAGAATCAACACAGCGGAACAGATTGTAGACAAGTTTCCTATCCCTTAAGGGTAGTCAAATGCTGAAATTCTCTGCCCGCTGAGCTAGTCCAAGCGACTTTTTGGGAGTCATACAAGAGGAAACTTGATATACTCTTAAGGACTAAGGACATTATCTTATTATGAATTACCAAGTTTTTTTACTTTTCCTCTTTTATCGATAATGTATCTAGCTTCCTTCCTGGAGGTATTGGTGATTCACTGCTACTAGACACGGAAGCCCGTTAAGCGAAAGCTTCTTCTATTCCATCCACAACAACTTGAACATTTGACCCATTCTAAGAGTGGGTAGATTAAGGCTTCCCAAGGTCATGAGAAAGTCCTTTAATCCGTTTGATGAAGATGAGCCCGGGGGTTTTTCTTCTTCCTCTAAACCACCAAGTTGGCCCTACGCAGGAACCACATCATCCGGACGAAGCGAAGTGCAAGTAGGCTTTTTTACAAATGTGACTAATTCGTTCCTCGAATCATCATTTATAAAGCATAGACGTTAGGTATTTTTATCCAGTTAAAGACCATGTGAAATTTCTTCATATAATCCACTAGTTTATTTAATATTCAAACTTATCCGGTGATTTCTACCTAAAAATGTACTTTATCGAAAATAAGTTTCGGAGTTAACAATGGCAACGGGACTTTCTTACTTGTGAGACAGTAGATTCTCGGATAATTGTCCACAACTCCATAGATATGTGGGCTGAATACAAACCGCTTCGCGCACCCAACTTTCATGACTAGTATTAACTGACCGATATCTTCAAACAGAGACCGAGTCTATGGAGAAATGGGTAGATATAAAAATTACAGTTCCAATAAATTAATGAGACTGACTATCCTTGGTCATCAATTAACCGGAATGACGAATTAACACAGGTTCTCACCTTCTAATGAGGTTGAGTGCTATAGATCGCCTAAAACGAGGGAGTGTCGAGCCCTTAGAGCCTAACAACAGAGACCCCCAAAAATGGCGGCCCAGTTTTAGCGAGTAAGTTAAATAAGATAGCTAACACATGAGAATTGGGTGTAATTCTGTCTGATTGGTCCTGATTGCTGGTCGTTCTAGTTTGTGGTGGTTAAAATTTGGCATGCGATAACCACCAAGAAATCAGTTTCACTGATATAATGTCTAAAACACTAGCCTCAGTAATTCTTTAACCCTCATTTCGGACTTTTGAAGAGCAATTTCGAGATTACATCAAAGAGCAGCAAGCTGCGAGAATTAAAAGGTATACCTATAGCTTAACTCGTTTCACTTGGTTTCTAACTTTCGTATGTTCTCCGTATATTTGGTGTTAGAACCTGACTACTATATATATCACAAAATACTCACGAGTATTGGGAATGTTTCGAGTTATAAATCTGCCTTCTCAGAATTAAAGATGTGGTGTCTTCATCCTTGTGGCTAAACTTGGAGCCGAAGAAAAAATTTGAAATGAAAGTTCTCAGCAGTCAAAGTCAACAAAGCGTATAATGATCATTTAAATTATCAGTCAGTCGATGACTCTGCAAATCTTCATCGACTGAGTTGGCTAAAACTTGTATTGCATACGTTCAACCACTGCAAACCTCGATATATGATTTTGGTTTTAAAAGGTGTATGCTGGAAGGAAAGTTAAAAACGGCCAAACTAATACATACCATCAGTTAATGAAATCATTAATTGCTGAAGTATTTTATTATTTATTTATTTATTTATTTGAACACATAAATATTGGTACAAGAGAGCACCAATATATATGCGCCACACAAATCAATAAGAATTCGAAAAGAAACAGAAAAAAAGATAAGGAGCGTAAAAAAAAGAGAACAATAACGAAGAGGTTGATGTAAGGTAGTGTAGTAATAATAATAGTAATAATGAGGGAACAGAAAGGTACAATCAGAAGAAATCTTTCAGTTAAGGAAGACACAACCACTTTTTATGAAGAAAGTAAAAGAAGGTTACAGCAGGATCGCCACTGGCTTCTATTCTCAGCCATATCTGATAACGTCTCTGGCCACTGTGTAGCACCATCTCTCGGACCCCAACCAGGGAGTCGTGAAGGACCGACAGAAGCCAGTCCTGTGTAGCTTTCCTTCATACCACGACACCATGTCATGCACTGACCACCTCTCCGCTTCTTCCAACCAGTCCCACAGTCGGCAAATAATGCACTACGTGGAATTCTCTGGTGACACCAATAGCATTATCGTCTCTGTGCCCGAACACACGATGCCGAACCTCTGCATTACTGACATGGTGTTGCCACTGGATGTCAGCAATCCTTCGGAGGCAGTGATGATCGAACACAGAAAGTCGTCTAACGTCCTCAACTCGGAGGCCAGGTTTTACAAGCATAGAGCAAAACTACTCTCACCGACGCGTTGTAAATCCGACCTTATACAGCCAGACTAACATCACGAAGGCGCCAAAGGTGGCCCAGATTGGCATAAGCCGCTCTGGCTTTCACTTTACGTGCATTGATCTCATCACTCACACCCCCACCAGCACTTATGCAGCTACCCAGATACACGAACTTCTCGACTACTTCTATCTGCTCACCATCCAGGGTGAGTACGGGATTAGAATCCTGCCAGTCTTGTAGAAGTACTTTGCACTTCGAAGGTGCAAAGCACATACCATACCTACGGACACTGATTGCCAACTGATTAAGTGCGGATTGCATGGCTTGAACATTATCGCACAGTAAGACAATATCGTCCGCATACTCAAGGTCGAGAAGTCTTTCTCCAGGCAACAGATCCACACCACCATTACTTACATTCATCAGAGCTGTTTCCAGAATGTCATCGATGGCAAAGTTGAAGAGGAATGGTGAGATTGGGCGACCCTGTCTAACCCTACTGCTCGAGTGGAACAATGGAGACAGGTGGTTGTATGCCCTCACTCTGCCTGAGGTGTTTGTATATAGGGCTTTTCGAATGTTATTAAACTTCTCAGACACACCCTTCTTCAATAGACAATCCCAGAGAACAGTCCTGTCCAACGAATCGAAGGCAGCCCTGATGTCAAGAAACACTACGATTGTTGGCCTTTGATAAGTATGGCGGTGTTCTAACATTTGGCGGAGGGTGACGATATGATCAATACATCCTCGACCAGAACGAAACCCAGCCTGCTCCTCGCGAGTCAATCTTTCTCGTGTTTTGAACAACCTACGAAGTATGACGGAAGCCAATAGCTTGGACGCAATCGGAAGTAGACTTATCCCTCGATAGTTGTTACAGGAACGACGTGAACCCTTTTTAAAGATAGGGACGACTATCGACTCATTCCATGACGTTGGTACACCCTCTAGTTCCCAAACCTTTGTAAACAACGTCGTTAATTCCTTAGTCAGAAAGTCACCACCATCTTTAAAAAGAGCCGGAGGTAAGTCATCTGGACCAGGTGATTTGTAACACTTCAAGTGTTGGAGTTCCTTGCGGACTTCCTCCTCGTTTGGTGGATCAGTCGTCACCGACCATGGAGGGCAGGACAGTCTGACCGATGTTGCTGGAGCAGCAGGTCAGTTGAACTGCCCTTCGAAGAATTCTGCCCATCGTCCAAGACGTCGATGGATGTTAGTGATTGCCATCCCGTCATTCTCACAGATGGTTTCGCTCACACCAGACTTCTTGCTGCCAGTGGCTCGGATGAGTTGGAAGAGCTTCCGGTAGTTACCAGATGCAGCTGCTGCTTCCAACTCATTAGCACGCTCCGACCACCAGGCTTCTCGGTCCTTACGCAAGCTTTGCCCAATTTACTTACGTAACATCCTTCGTTTGTGGTCAAACTCACGGTCACCCGGAGTAGACCGACGGGCTTCAATGAGTTGTAAGGAACCAGAAGAAACCCAGTGCTTATAAGCGGGATGTTTCGCAAACCCGCAACTGACTGTACTCGCCATTTTCATGGCGTCATGCAATCGCAACCAATGCTCATCTATACTTTTCGGTGGAATGGTAGCTAGCCTAGAGGCTAGCTCGGTTCGATACTTGCTAGCAACAGAAGTTGCAACCAGATTGCTAACATCAATCCGTTGGTGGCGGTCACTTCGTTGGCCACTGAAAAGTAAGGTAAGATTGGCGCAGACTAGGGCATGGTCAGAGTCCAGATAGGTACTCAAAAAGGAGCGGCAGTCTTGTACACAACCACGCCAGCGGTAGCTGATCGCGATGTGATCAATCTGAGTCCAGACTTGAGATGCAGAGGGATGACGCCAGGTGGGACATCCGCGATGACTGTGCCGAAAGTTAGTGCTAGCCAGAAACAGGTTGTGGTCTGTGCACAGTTGCAGTAGACGGTTCCCGTTATCTGACCTGCGACCAACGAGTTCCCATCGGCCACCTAAACGACTCTCTTCTGTGCCTAGACGCCCGACCTGAGCGTTCAAGTCTCCGGCTAGTACTACAATATCTGTCGAACGCACTTTCTGGAGAAGAACAGTTAACTGGTGGTAAAACTCATCCTTGATTGCATCCGAGCTGCAATCTGTCGGGGCATAGGCGGAGATGACGAAAAGACATAGTTTCTCACGCCAATTTCTTCTCACTTCGATGGGACTTTCTAATCTAACAGCACAAAACCGACTGTTAATTGGGATCCAATCGGTTAGTGTTGCCTCAGCTCTAGCGATTAGTTTGACACCAATGCCAGCAAGGTCAGACGAAGATGCCACAGGGTTTTCGGATAAACGCACGCAAAACAAGCTTTTCGAAGCGACAGATGAAGAGCGAATTTTTAGTACTTCACCATAGTCTTGAATACGGGTCTCAGATAGAAAGCAGACATCGATATTAAGACTTTCCAAAGACATAGCCAGCCCTATCTGTTGTCCGACCTGCATAAGTGTGCGAACGTTGAAGGCAGCCAGTTTGAATGGCGCACGTGGTTTCAGAAAAACTGCTTCAGTACTCATATTCGGTGGTAACATACAATTTTCAACCGGACAGTGACTCGAGAACGTTTAGATACAGTCGAATTTCCACCAAAGACGAGCCGCTGTATAAGTATAAAAGAGGGTGAATAATGTGGATTATAATAATAATAATGACAATAATAGTAGCAATAATCATAATATTATTAATAATGACAATAATAGTAATGATAATAATTTGAATCAATTGATGGTTTTTGGAAGCGAGAAAAGTAGTTTCCATAGACATAGAGAGTTCATCATTTGTGTGTGGGCTGTGATATTGCCCGGGTACCCAAACCGAAGCAGGTGGTTATCTTAGGGGGCCACTCCCCGAGCCTTTGACCTAAAGGTCTAACCTACAAGGCAGTGGAGCATCGTAAAGACGTGCAATCCCATGGTAGCCAGTTACCAACGATTGGTTCATACGCCATTTGTTCCCGCAGGATACTGGAGCCCATGTGCACCATTGGTTTGGAATCAGGGTAAAGCGCTGGACATTCGCTTTTCGTCCTCTCATTTTCGTAAACAACACCTCCGCCACGAGGAGGCAATGAGTAGGACTTCCCTGGCAGAGGCTGTATACGCGTGGCCGTGTGAGAGTATTTCGAGAGGGAGAGCGGACTCTTCCCACTCTCGGCCGTACCAGGGCATTTGGAGACAACTGCTGAAGTGAATCTTATTGATGAGTTTAGACTACCTTGTTAAGGTCTACACAAGTACTGGGACCACAGGTTGCAGGTGTTTTGTGATATGGCTCAAGATTAGCCAAGATGGCACATTAGGATGTCAGTTTATGGATCTATTTGCGTTAGTAGAATTAGCATCTTTTGTTTCATTAACCATATTTTAACTACTCGAACTAAACGTCAGTGGATTTAAACTCCCCTGTACTTACTGAGACATGTCTCCCTGACATCGACAAGCTTTTGCTGTAATCACTATGAAGGATGGGTTCTACACCAATTTCGCATGATTCTTCATTATTTCATTGTCTTGGCAGAACGTATGGTTTTTAAAATGGTATTCTCGCTACATCTGATCACTCACTGATGAAAACCTCTTATGCTTTTGTCGTATCCCAGCCGGTTAGTATCATTAACAGGTACACAGGTATTACTCAAATCTAAGTATTCAAATATGTGCTTCATTACTGAGCCATATTTGTTGAGAATGTTCGCGACTAATGTCGTTCCGTATAACTGCACACAATTTTCAAAAGAACTTTAATGTCTTATATACATAATAAAAATTTGAATCCACATTCACTATTTCATGCCTAATGAGGGCTTGTTTCTGATTACACTTCACCTCTGATATGAGGAATTGTTCAATGTTTTAGTAAATAAAAGTGTTTTCATTCGTAAAGTTAAACTATGTGTTTACTACAATATATATCACTCTTAAAATACTTTTAACCACCGTAGATCGACGGAACTAATCTAACATTCGTAGTTTTAACTCATTTGATTCTGATTATTCTCATCATATCGACACAAATTGAATGAACTGACTTTCTTCCTGCTATTCAGTGTCAAATTTCAGATAGTCAGTCAAGAACAAAAGCTAGCCAACAACGTGCATTGTCCAGTATATATAATTCAGAACAAATTGGTGTTGCAGCAGCCCAAGAACTTATTGAACAAGGAGAAAAATTAAATCGTGCTGAACAGAAGCTTGAAGAAATTAGTGAATTGCAAAAAGATAGTCAAAAGAAAATTAATACTTTATCTAGTGTTTTCGGTGGATTTAAAAACATTTTTTCTCGAAGGTAAGTAAAATTACAAATGTAAGCCATAATAAAATATAAGTTTCTTTTAAAATATTAGATACAAAGTAATTTATTCATATGATCTGCTTTCTATGTTTCTTTTCTATTATTTTGACTTCCAATAAGAGAATTGATGTCTTTGAAAGTGAAAAAAAAGTTTCTGTTAAATGAGGATGCTTACTAGATATTCTGAAAATGAGTAGTCTGAAATCACGTCCATTACTTTAAATTATTCTGTTAACTATACTTTAACATTTAATATCCATACAACGAGCTTAGATATGATTTCGAATTATTATTGTTATTATTAGCTGGTGTATTTTCTATTACGAACAGTATTCATAATCATTAGCAAATTAAGAGTTTATTTACTGATGGTAAGCCATATTTATCGTATAGTAAGGTTAATTAAATAAGTTTTGTCAGAATGAGGGTTTGCGGAGATTGTAGTAATTTAGTAGTTGGACTCAAGCTCAGTGGTCTAGAGGTCAAGCGTCCGCGCTTGAGGCCGAAGGCCCTGGGTTCAAATTCTCTATACAGGAACGTGGGTGCACATTACTGAGGAGTCCCATACTAGGACGAAACGACCGTCCAGTGCTCCCAGGCTTTCAGTGGCGGTCTAGCTTAACTAGTGAATTCTACCATTAAATAAGTTTTGTTTACAAAATTCCAAAAACTGATGAAATAGATTAAGAATTGTATTAATTCAGTAGTTGAAATTCGAAAGTGAATCACAGATTTGAATTCCGGTGGTAACTTTCTGTACTTTAATCTCTCAACATATAACATTTTTTGTGTACAGTTTAATCACACTTTTTGGTACAGACGGTACATTTTTACTTCTCTCTCATAATAATTAGTGCATGTATTTTTGTATATGTATACATGAAAGTTCAAGTACAACTCAATTTACTTGGGTATTATGTTTTCTAATCTTTTCTTATAAATTACGTCGTTTACTCACGTCAAATTTGTCAGTTAGATTTTTGCGAAATCGGTGATCGGTTGATAACATAGGCTAATGTGATAACTTATTCAAACGTAATGTTGCAATCTCATATTCTTAATTTTACAAAAAATGGGACAACTAGTTTGAGACAAACATTACGTAGTCGATTACAAGTTCATCATAAAATGTTCATGTTTCACATTTGAAGAGAGCTGAGTGATCAGAAACTCTTGAACCTTGGTGGAAATCATACCTACTCATAGTTTATTTCTTTTGAACAAGACATATATGTGCTACAGTTTCTTCGATTCTGTCTAGTATTCGAAGATCAATCGGATAAACCTGTATACATATGTATATAATTTTATCTAATCAGTTAGCACTAAATATCTAAGTACATCGAAACGTAAATTGATGAGGTGTTAAAGTCATCCATTAGTAGTGTAGAGATTATCAAGGGGTTTTCCACTTATATATCTCATTTTTTTATTCATTGACATACAATAGTGGTTACAGTGGGAGCATTGTAGATGAGATCTTATAGTTTCAAACTGAAATATAATATCAAATCACAAGTTTATTGACTATTTGATACATAGAATCTCATTTGGTATTTGAAAATCATAGGATAATTAATAATTGTGCATATGAACTCCATTCTTATCATAATTTGAAAAATAAATAACTCCGGATGGTTTCTCTTTTACATGTTTAAGCTATGAAGTCAAATCTACTCGCCATCAAATCAAATTTTCTGCATAGTTAAGTCTCATTAATAATGATTCTAAAGATTGTTGGTACTTGATAATACAGTCTGAGGACTCATCAGTTCTAATCTAGAAATTACACAAATGTTTTGACTTTCCGATCAACTTACTGTAAATTACTACTAATTTATGTTAATTTTCATGGGTATTTTTCTGGTAGACAATCACAACCTGTTCCTCAAAGCTCCTCGGTGGTGGACAAGACGTTGAATAATAGAAATCAAAGTAATCTGAGACAATCAATTCAGTGTGAAAATTCATGGGGCAATCAGTACACAAGTACATTGCAACAAAAAATGATTGTAAGTCCTTAGCATATCTCATTGGAGACAATTATTACTATATATTATTTGAAAGTGAACAACTTGTGTTAACTTGTTCACCACTATCACTTGTTAATTACCATCCCAAGCCATTATCTAATAATAATAGCTGTACTCACCACTATAGATCTGAGTACAGTGGAAATTCCTCAGCTTTAACATCCGAATTGCATTCCTCCTAGGATCCTGTTATTACAGTCGTGTTTGGAATAAAAGATAGGTGCATTAAGTCATCAAATGCTAAAAAATTGTCACATCTGGTATGCACCTATCAAATTTAATAGTAAGTACTCGCAAGCTACGTGACGTTAATCAGAGCAGTCACCTTGACAAACGCCACTTAGCGCGTGACTATGCAAAGGAGCTTTGGGTCAAAAAGTAGACGTTATTTTCCACTATATGAATAAATTTCCTTTATTAAGTATTCTATTTTATATGGGAAGGTAACGACGTATTCATCTTAATCGTGCAAAAGATTGAAAATCATAAGTCGTCAAACTCAATTGCTTGTACAGAAGGAAGTGCCATTTGGTGAGTGCTATGTGAGTTTTGCAGCGGTCTTAATCCTCATTATCTGTCTGTAATAAAGTGCTTCCTAGGGCATTTATATGATAGTAGATAGGTAACTGGGGGGGGTGTAAATTACGACCCCTAGATGATAGACTTCTTTATTCATGGGGAACAATTTCTGGACCATCTGTGGTCGAACCTAGAATCTCTGACTGATAATATCTTGGCTAATGCAAACTATCCTATCACTGATGAATTCACTTCATTCCCGTTAATATCATATCTTTTTTCCTGTAAATAGGAACCCAACAACACCTCGCAATCTGCAGATGTTGAGTTTGAGAACAATTTAGCTCTAATGGGCGATGGCATGTCTCGATTAAAAAGTTTAGCTCAAGGTATGCATAATGAATTAAGAAGTCAAAATGACCAACTTGATCGAATGGCGCCGCAAATTCATCGAGTCACTGATACTATGTCAAATCAAAATCGTCAAATGAACAAACTTCTAGGAATCCGACCAAAATAAAATATTGCTTCTTGCTTTTCTGTGATTTCACCTTTTACAATTAAGATATGAATGTAGTAGATGATGCACCGGTCTCGCTTGGGTATTTCGTCCGAAGAAATCTTTATTTCTGTCTACGTTTGATTTTTTTTGTCAGCTATTCCCAACTGACTATATGTACACAATTTGTTATTTAGTTTATTTTAATTGATTTATTTTTTAATAAATTGCCAATATGCTCTTTTCTCATTTATAGTAGTAAGTTAGCTGGTGAACTATAGGGATTTCTGCTAAATAGTTTCAGTATGGTTAAGCGATCTTTGTAAGAAAAAACAACTGTCCATTCCAATTTCGATAAAAATGTAGTAGAACAAAGCTGATAGTTATTAAAGCACTAATGAACAAAATCCCTTTGGGAACGTTGAATAATTTAAGGATCAGAGTTGCCAAGGTTAAAACAAATAATATCAATTAGGGTGTAATTAATCAAATATGTTATTATGTATTCAAACGAGATGTGTTCTTTGAATTGACGTCCTAGTCCAACGTGTTAATTACGAGCTTGAAATAAATGAATCCCACCATCCAGTATCATTTTTTAGTTGAGTAATGGAACTCTAAATTCAACTTGTTCAGTTTTGAACTTGACGACACCGACCATAAGTATAGATGGATAGCATTTTAGTTGTATAGAAACTGGTTGAGAAAGTGTATCCAGCTTTAACATGTAATGACTCGTGTTACTCACTTATTTATTTGAACAGTGTGAAAAAATAAACGTGAATGTGGCAATCAGATGCTTAATCACATCATTAGTTATTTTATATTCACTTGTATAGTTAATTTTAACCTTTTTCCAACGTACGCATTTATATACACACATGTCGATATTTACGTGTCTTTTAACTTAATTATCGATTGTCTACTTGAACAATATATAAGCACAATTATCAACTTGTACTCGGAGTTGACTAATATACTAATTCAATGCTTCGCTTTTGGTCTATCTGTTAATACCCATGTACGAATTTTACGTATTCTCAATGTATTTCGTATCAGACTTTTTAATATTGCATCATCTGAATAAGACTAAACTAAAGTACAATATACAAAAATTAATCAGCATCTACATGTTTTACTGAGGTCAAATATGCTATTATAAACTCCATTACGTCAACTAAATGCACTTCTCAACAAGTTTTTGTATGTTACCCATTATAAAGTGTGAGCTCATCTCATTAAGTCAAATGCAGTAGTAGCTTAGTGATTAAAGTATTCAACCATAGGTCTCAACCCCTTATTTTATCTGGACAATCAAGTAGTATTACAAACCTATAATTATTGGTAAATGAGTTACGTTATCATTATAATTCAAAGAAAAGATTTATGCGAGAAATGTATTTTAAAAAATTGTTTAAAGTATAAATCATGTAAACTTAATTAAAAGTCAAATTGAACATTTGTTATCCATCAGTAATTATTTGTATGTATGTATGAATAACCAAACGTTCAAAAAAGTAGACCGGTATTAGAATAGAAATTAAAGTTTGTGAGAGAAATGGAACTGATATGAATTATATATATATATATATATATATATATATATATATATATATATATAACGAACACTTATTATTATGATCATTCATTAACAACACCATAGACTAACTGTAATATCATCCTTTACACATAATAATTTTAGTCCATTAATTAGATAAATTAATAGTATCTATGGTAAGAGAAGGATATGTCTTTGAATCTAAAGTCCATGTTGCACGTAGTTCAGAATTTTTTTGATATAAATTATTTGAAATTTCGTAATTATATTTGATTTCATTATCATTAGAATGTAAAGTATTATTGATTGATTGATTATCTTGTATCAGGAATGATACATCATTATTATAATTATTACATGTAGAGTTAGATGAATTATTTTGAGTACTGACATGAATAGGATTATTTGAATAATCATTTTTAAGTTTTCTAGATAGAATACGACGTTTCACAGGAAAACATCTTTGAACTGATGTATTATTATTATCATTAATAGTTAATGGAGCATGTAAATTAGTTTCACATTGTGATAACGTTGAACTACTGACTTGTTTTGATGAAGTTGACAGTCTTTTCTCTTCAACAACAGTTTCATGGCATTTTTCAGTATGAATTGTTTTAATGTTTGGGAAATTATTTACATCAGTACTGATATTGGTACTTTTTAATGCTGCATATAAATATCATAAAAGGGAAGGGGATATTTTTCAGTTAAATATCTAAATATTTGTGTATAAATAAAAAACAATTATATATATTGAGAATACGTTTCCATTTTCTCCATAAGACTTTGTCCGCAAATGCCCTGGTACGGTCGAGTGTGGGGAAAGTCAGCTCTCCCTCTCGAAATGCTCTCTAGTGGCCACGTGCATACAGCCACTGTCGGGGGAGTCCTACTCACGACCTTTCTGTGGCGGGGGTGTTGTTTACGAAATTGAAAGGATAAAAAGCGAATGTACGTTACTTTAACTCGAATGGTGGATATGGAGGGTCCACCTAGTAAGTTGAAGAAAACCCTCATTCCAAACCAATGGTGCACATGGGCTCCAGGATCCTAAGGAAATAAATGGGGTATGAATCTATTGTTGGTCACCGGCTACCATGAGACTGCATCTCCACTGCCTTGTGGATCAGACCTTTAGGTCAAAGGCTCCGAGTATGGCCTCCTAAGAAAACCACCTGCTTCGGTCTGGGCACTCGGACAGTATCCCAGCCCTCACACAAATCGAATGATTTATGTGGCGCATATCTATTTGGTGCCTCCTTGTACCAATGTTTATGTGTTTAAATAAAAATAAGAAAACTTTAATCAGCTCCTTATGAATTTAAATAAATCGTACTCATTATATCGGAGTTCATAGAATGCTCAAAAGATTAAATTTGTCTGCATGAAACTCACATTATCAAATACTTTTTCATACAGTCAGAATAAACAATTTTATGGTAGCACATGTATTTGTAAGGTGTAGTTATACAGTTGAGTGTACAATTTAGATGTTTGACTAATATTCACTACATTAACTTGTAAGTGCTTAGAGGTTGAAAATCAGCATGATGTTAAATATTTGACTAATGGTATTTAAATAAAATTCTAAAAGAAATTTTGATGAATAATTCTTCGCTAAAGAATAGTAAGTAAGCAATCATAAGGAAACGAGACTACCATTCTCCTCATTACTCCAAATAATGGCCAGCATGTCCAGTGAATTTTGATCACAGTTACCCAGGATAAAGTATCAGTGGTCCTACTAAGACATCAACTACATATCAGGACCATTAAATTGAAACCTTGAACCGATTTAATCTGGACCACCATTGGAAGCCTGTAAGCACTGAGAGGCCATTTCGTACCAGTATGTGACTCCTCATCGGTGTAGTGCATGAACCTGCACGCAGAAATTGAACCTAGGACCTTTGGTCACCCGTGCGAACGCCCATCTTCTAGATCATTAAACAGCCACCCAACGATGTTAATGCCTAACTTTATTAAACTTTATTGGAACAATAGCCTGAATAGCGTAGGAGTAACATCTTAATGACACTTAGTGGCGCGGATTCAAGTCTGAAGAGTACCATCGATTCCCCTACGATTGTAGATAGGACTTGCTGACAAGTATCCACTAACACTAAAGTTCAAAACTTATTCCTGATTGATCTTAACCATTAAACATAGGACCAAAGTGAGTGACTAACGTTAGATTTATAGGTCTAGGGAAAGATGATTAATCGATTTATGAGGTTATGTCTCTTCACTGACTGAGGTGGCTGGGGCATCAACTATCTCAATGGGGAATGCTAGTTGCTACGAATGTAGGTTGGGAGAAAACTGAGGGCAATCAAAAAACAACGTGACATCAGTTAGTGAAGTCAGTGACTATTGGTCTGAATCATGTTGATAAACCCAGACTACCTGGTTAGAGTCAAGGTGATTACCGCAACCAATGGTTGGAGACGTTATGTGAAATGGCTTAAGATCGTTCACAATCATGCAGATGTATCCACTCTTTATCTTCTTCTAGATCGTCAGTTTCAGTATCCATTCATATATATTTTTGGATTATCTTTTTCAACCACACTTCAATATTTGGTCTACCTCATAATCATTGCTACTACAGTATCTTGCTGCCTTTTCTCTTCGTCTTGTCCCGATGTGGTATGGCAACTTGAGTCAACGCACTTTTGTTCTATTCTCTGTGATGATTATGACTGACTGAATTTCTTCATCAAATGTTTCTTTCGTATACAAGAATGACTGAAATATGAATACTGATGACAATAGGCTGCAATGACACATATGACTATTGAATTATGCGTCTCATCAGGGGTCGCAGATGCGCACTACTGAGTCTCATACTAGGACGAAACGGCTTTCCAGTGCTTCTAGGTTTTCAATAGTGGTCTGACATAGATCGGTTCATGGTTTCATTGAGTCTCCACAACCATAAACTGATAAACATTTTTTTAATTGGATTTGCTTTTCTAAGTTAAGCTACTTAAAGAAAAAAAAACAAGATTTTATGCGTTATGTATTTCCCAATATGTCGATATGTTTATGAAATTGATGCTAATCAATCAAACAATTACACCTGATCTACTCCCTTTTACAATGGGATTGATCATCATCGTTAAAAATTAAACTTTAAACGAAATAAGTAAAATTTGATCATCACATGTACATTATTTATACAGGCTTAAACTATACAAATAGGTAGGATAAAAAGCATAATTAATTAAACCTCATGTGATTAAACTAGTGATACAACTTAAAATGATAAATTAAACGGTATAAAATGTTATAAACAGAGATGGATGGTGACTAGCAGTGGAATCCAGGACGCACGTTTCGTTTAATTTGAGACTCGTCCAAGATTCCACTCTTAGCCACCATCTATCTCTGCTTATAATGCTTGTGACTGAAGGCAATTCGCACATATGCCAATAAAAGCCTGATAGATTAGTCCTAAACATAAATGGAACGATTCAAACAAGCAATACAAATGAGGTATAACATATCATTTACCAACAATTATATCACAATTACAGTTTGTAGCTGAATACAGAAAATTGTATACTACTGATAAAAACATGGAAACTAGTAGTATACTAGTGAATTAGTTAAGGAAAATTAACTCATTTTAAAACAATACAACGGGAACTGAAATAAATAAGGTTATTGAAAAGATATAGTATAAACTAATCATTAGTAATTTGATTGAATAAGTATTTTAACTTAGCAGTGTTTCAGACAGTACCATGTATTATAGCAGACGATGAATGAGCATATCTAGTACACTTTTCAAATATTATTAAATTCAAGATTTGGTAATTACAAAAGCCGAGTTTCAGCCGTTAAGTTTCGAACTCGGAGTTCATTTCATATACTTCAGTTTAGACAGTTAGTATTACTTGTTCTTACACAATTAATGTGTGAACAAACCAAATTATACCAATCTATACTTGAATAGTAAAGTTGAGATTCCAACTACACTTAATAACGTATATGATATTAGTAAGTCAGTCAATTAGACGTAGACAGAACAGAACCTGAAACATACGTAAAGTTATCAAGATAGATCCCAGAGTAGTAGAAGTAATAACAGTATTAGTAGTAGTAGGAAAGATTAGGTTTAGAAGAAGGGTATTAGGAGATTTCGGTACCCAAATTTTAAAGGAAAACAAAAAGTGAATGCACCTGTATAATTGGAAACGATTCTAAGTTATATTACCCAAATCCTCAAATATTGATTACAATCATCACGTAGACGGTAACCAAGTAGTCTACACCTATTTACATATCTCAGTTCAATTACCGTCAATTTTATAGACTGATGTCACGTCTTATTTTGTCTGTCCGTAGCTTTCTTTCAGTTAACTTCTACATTAAACAATGTCACCTGTCAATATGGGCGGTGGCTAGACATAAGTAACATATATTTCAACTACCTCAGCTGACTAAAATCTATATTCGTAAGCTACTAATATTTGACCACAGATATCTTGGAAATATTACTTGCATCTGCTGGGATCACCGAGTAAGTAATAGTGAGGTTAGACGCACGGTATTAGGGAATGATGGTAAATCAGTCGATGAGTTTGTGAATCTTCATCGGCTGAGATGGTTGGGCCACGTGTCGCGTATGCCTGAACACTGATTACCATGACGTGCAATGCTAACCGGTGTTCGGGATGATAGGAAGAAATTTAAGGGTGGCCAAAACAAATTGTGGCATCAGTGCTTGAAGTCATTAACTTCTAGTTTGAATCATGTTAGTAGATGCTGACTATTTGGTTGGGGTCCGAATGACTATCATAACCAATGGTTGGAGACTTCGAGTGACATACCTCAGAATCGATCACAATGGCGTCGGTGTATACACTCTCTGTCTTACCTTAATCTGAGATTAAAATCGCTTCATATCTTTCTTTCTACGAACTAATTCTCTCTTCCTGTACTATATCCTTATACACAATCTTTCTTTTATAAATTACCACCACTGAATCAACTACTTATTTGAATCCTATGTTCATCTTGTTGTGCTAATGAGGTATGGCAACGTGAACCGATGCACATATGTGCCTGGTTCTACGTTGTAGCTGACTGACCCGATACTCTATACCTGGACTCAAAAATGGATATATATATATATATATAACTACTTTAGAATTCTACATAGTTACAAGACATCTCGTCTAGTACTCCTTAATTTTTTTAATAGTCTTTCTTTTATCCAATATTAATTGATCATTGAAATTAATTTTCGAATTGAAAAATAAATATTTAATATAAAAATAAATAACAAACGATTATTTTTCTTATTCTTACTTGAAGTATATTGATCATTTTTTGAATGTATTTCCAGTTCACTGTTAACTGTAATATTCAGCGGATCATTATTATTATTACTGTTCAATGAGTCAATTGTTGATGTATTATTATTATTATTATTATTATTATATTGGATTGGATCAATTTTATTACTGAAATGGCGAATAATTTTTGGTTCGATTGATTTTGTTCGATTAATATAATTCTTTCTTATTGATGATGATCTATTAACTTTATTATTTAATGTATTATTAGTTGAAATTGATCTTGTAATATATTGATTAGTTTTATTTATTGATTTATAATAAATTGAATTGTTTATATTAGATTGTATAAATGTATTCGATATTGATTGTTGTTTATAACATTCTTTTTGATTATTTTTTAATTGATTTTTATTTATATTATGTGTTAATTGTTGTTTGGGGGAGAATTTATTGATTAATTTATTATTATTATTATTATTATTATTATTATTAATAGAATGATACGGATTTCGTTGATTAGAAATAATAGAAATATTTGATTTTCTAAAAAATAAAAAAATATATTATAATAAGTAAGAGATTTATTTTAGTTACTAAGGTCAGGATTTTTTTTAAGAAAAAATATGTAGCCTTCTTTTTAATGTAATGTCAATATAAAACAGATGGATGCGTACTTCTGAGAAGTTCTATACTAGTAATTTACAATTTAAATAAAGCCAGAACAAATATTGATGCAGAATAATAAGAATTCATTATAGTTCGTGGTTTATCGTCACTTGCTTACAACCAAATATGCATTAGAATTTTAAATTTAGATAAGAAATAGTATGGAACAATTGACATAAATGAATGTAAAGGATTGGAATGACAACGGTTATCAATGATAACTATATATATGTGTTAAGTCTATCGAAGCGGCCAAGTCACGCGATTGAGATACGCGCAAAACCGAAGTTTCCAAAACAACGATTTGTCTACATTAGCGGTTCTTTATTAAATAATACACTAAATTTAGCCAAAAATCTCAACTTGTGAAGTGTCTAGGCGTTTAAACGCGTCCTTCAAGAATGAAAATAACAAAGGCTTCGATAGTACAAAGACAGATGATAACTGTTTCTAAATTTGATAACAGTTTATGAGCAACCGAAACTCGAACCAAGAGCAGAACAATATGGAAACCGTTGCGTTTAAACAAATGCAAAAAACTGTGGATAACGGCTACAGCGATTAAGATACAGTAATTATAATGATAAGTACAATAAACGTTATAAGTATATGTGATCATTTCAGAATATTACAGTGCAACTTGCGTTACAACATAAGTGTGAAAATTGTTTGGAATACAACAGCTTACTGAATGTAAATAAGTAGTATAAGACAATATACAAAAGAATAGAAAGGGAACGAGTAGGAACAATGTAAGACAAACTTAACAATATATGTGTGCAAGAATAGATCAGAGGTTATTAGGTGCTAGAATCAAGGACACATTAAGGACGGGTGGTGTAATAGTGGAGTTCAGAGACAGATAAGATAAAGTGTGTGATAATTTTGGAGGTAATAAAGGAATCATGGAATTAAAAATTGATAAGATGGGTTACGTAATAATTGAATAGAATTTGAAGAGTTCACATAATTTAAGAGGATCAAGTGAGCGGAAATGTACGAGTGAAAGGGTGGTTTAAGAATTGGTTAATTGGAGAGGAACAAAACAACAAACACACAAAAACAATGAATTACCTGGGTAGTAATAAGTTTATTGCTGTCTCTTTTTGAATACATAGATCCGCTTTAAGTTTTTTATCGCGATCGCTTCAGCAAAATGGAGAGCAGCCGTACTTCTTTGTCTGATATTAATTTTAAGAGCATGAGAGATATGCTCGGTGTCAAGTAAATGGCGAGCTATTGCACTGTTGAGTGCCTTAGTCCCTCACAGCCTCAAGTTCTTTGGAACATGCTCAAAAATGCGAACATGTACTCTTATCTCAGTTCTTCCAATGTATGTGCTTTGGCACGTACATGTGAGTTGGTAAATGCAGTTGGAGCTACTAAGATGACTTGTCGATTTTAATTTGTTTGACTGAGCAGTTCGTTTCCCATACCGTCGTCAGTTTTGCTGCTGAATAGGTCACTTCTAGCGCGGAATTTATTCTGTGATTAATTAATCCAGTAATTTCATCTCCTTTGAAGCGTAAATACAAGAAGCAAGTTTTCTTTTCCACTCTATCATACTTTACCAGAGGGTTGGTATTTGCATATTTATAGATGAATTTTGTTGGATATGAATTTCCACGTAGGCACTTAGTGATGAGAGCGATTTCTTCTTCCATGCATTCTTTTGAGCAAATTTTACGTGCGCGGTCAAAAACGGTTCGTACAATACCTTTTTTGTAACTCACTGCACAGAAGCTGGCTACTACTACCCTGGTAATCCATTTTTTGTGTGTGTTTGTTGTTTTTTGTTATTAGTTTTGTTCCTCTCCCATTAACGAGTTCTTAAACCTCCATCCTTAATATATCCTTGATTCTAACACCTAATAACCTCTGACATGTTCTTGCATACATATATATAGTTATCATTGATAACATTTTTCATTCCAATCCTTTACATTCATTTATGTCAATTGTTCCATACTATTTCTTATCTCAATTTAAAATTCTAATGCATATTTGGTTGTAAGCAAGTGACGATAAACCACGAACTATAATGAATTCTTATTATTCTGCATCATTATTTGTTCTGACTTTATTTAAATTCATAAAGGGAATTAACTACATGGAGTTATTTACGATTGCTTGATCATTAGGTGGTGATCAATGTCACGTATGTCAGATCCTTCTTAGTGCACATCGAACCCTATTGACCAAGTTGTAATGTAGCCACCAGTCTAGATCACTTGAGATTACGTGCACTATGTTGAGATAAGATGGTGATCGGAGGTAGTGAACAGGAAATCCTGGACTTAGGTTTCGTGGTACTTGAGAGTCCTCAGCAAGGTGTACATGTAATCTTGAGGGAACTGATGCTCCCTAACGGATTCGATACCGTGTCAGCCAGCTTCAAAGTCAGAGACGTTACCACTGGGCTATTTGAGCCACGACTGACCTCCTGTAGGACTGAGATGTATTTACGATTGATTGGTCAGTAGGTGGTGATCAATGTCATGTATGTCAGATGCTTCTTAGTACAGATCGAATCCTATCGATTTTATACTAGGACGAAACAGCTGTCCAGTGCTTCCAGGTTTTCAATAGTGGTGTCTAGCTTAGATAGACTCTTGAATTAAAATGTGAAAATAGGACAATCTCCATAAATCCCTATAATTGATAATATAACAGGTACAATAAAAAATTTACATGTACATATATATTTTCAAGGCTTAATCGACTTATTTCATTTAGGTGGGGTAGACTTCAGAGAATTCTTTTCGTTATAAGTATTATAAAATTTCTTAAATCATCACCATGATTTGAGTTTTGACATTATAAACTGAGAGGAGGTGAAGAATTATTTAAGAAATGAGGACATTGAACAACTAGTTTTAATTTGACTAGTAATTCCTTGTCCATTCTTGCATACGATAGCATACGGAATAATAACTAAAACGTTTCGGGCCTTGTAACAGTTACGATAATATTCAGTTACTAAGTTAGGAATGTTTCTCATATGTCATTATATTTAGAACAAACAAATAGATGCTTAAGTAAATTTACAAAAAAATTAATTGAATCCCATTTTCTCAAAATATTAATGACGTCAGTGTTGTTGAAGCCTTTTACAGATCTTCAATCACTTAAAAAGGACCATTTATTGACCAAATACAAAAATTGGAACATATGAAGGAAGGATCAACACTATTATTGATTGACTCACTTACTTTTCTTCGCCATTTGCGTAGTTATTGATCTGTTTACTTTTAGGTAAGGAATTCACTTGATGAGGTTGTAACTGTCGAAGGATACTAAAGAACAGGAAGAAACAAGAAAGGTAGTAATCCAACAATTTAGACAGTTACTTATAATTTATTTTGTAAAGTTTTGTGAACTACTGTTGAATTCAGTTTCGCATTACGAACTAAATTTGGTCAGACAGCGTAGTAGTAGTAGCATCATTTGTGTTGGTAGTAGAAAAGATTAAGAACAAACAATATGATTCAAGAAGGAAGAATATGCGAAATAAAAAGTAGAGCATCATTTCCAATTTCAAAATCTGAAGGGAGGCAATAAGTTAATACATCTTAGCGGTTGTAACCAATTTTAAGTCATCTCACCATATGTCCACCGCCACTTGTTATGAAAATTGAAGAGAGAACCCTAACCATCTGGTGGTGGTCTACACCTACCAACACAAGTCAGTCTAACAGTTAATGACTACAATATATGAAGCCAATAACTAACTAGAATAGCTAGCTCTTTTTGTTATATCCGGACGAAAATAAATGAATGGTAAACGCTAGTAATTATTTATGAACTAATATTATACATATATTCTTATCATATAACTGTTAAGAAACTAAACTACACATGCCTATATTCCCCTCATTATAAGCTTTTATTTGGCCTACAGACTATTATCATACGATTTACTATCCATGAGATATTTCCAATTTATTAGTAACAGTTCCTCACCATCACGACCCACTTTTAGCTTGACCTTGTATAAATGTTATTTTCTGTTTGACTTGTATATAATAAACGAAGTATGCTCGAAATAAGTGATTCGTATCACGGAGACTGAGATTGGTGTTCTGAACTTAACAGGCAGTGGTTAGGAGAAAAAACGACCAATCGGAACTCTAAGTTACTCGTACTGGTGTATACGTCATTAGTTTGATCGTGTATAAGTCAGAGTACTTAAATTGTCAACCGTATTTCTTGATAATCATATAAATTAAGGACATAACATTTCTCATGCATAAAATTTATTTATTTAAACATATAAACATTGGTACAAGGAGGCACCAAATAGATATGCGCCACATAAATTATTCGATTTGTATGAGGACTGGGATACTGCCCGGCTGCCCAAACCGAAGCAAGTGGTTTCCTTAGGGTGCTACACCCGGAGCCTTTGACCTAAAAGTCTAATCCACAAGGCAGTGGAGCAACTTCAGGAGATGCAGTCCCATGATGGCCGGTGACCAACGATTGGTTCATACGCCATTTATTCTTTCAAGATACTGGAGCCCATGTACACCATTGGTTTGGAATCAGAGTTTTTCACACACACCCTTATGTAGATCCTCCATATCTACTAACCAGGTTAAAGCGCCATATATTCGCTTTTCATCCTTTTCAACTTCGTAAACAACACCCCCGCCATGAGAAGACAGTAAATAGGACTTCCCTAACAGTGTTTGTATACATATGAGAGTATTTCGAGAAGGAGAGCTAACTTTCCTTACTTTCAGTTGTACTAGAGCATAAAAACTATAACATTAATCTTAATCTATTAACACATAATCAATAAATGAATTACAACATTCAATATTAAATTTAATAAATATCATACCGTAATGAATTTGTTGATGTTTGATTAGTTAATTTTGTAAATGAATAATCCATTTTATATGATGATAGATTAGAATTATATATAAGTGAAATTTGTTTAGTTATAGACCATTTAAAGAAGATTTCATGAATTTCATTAAGTATATTATAAAGTTGTATTAATAATTTTGATTCTAATAATGATGTTGATATAAATTCTGATTGAAACGATATATTTCTTTGATCTAATCGTATAGATAAAATTAATTTAGCCGTATCCTATAATAAATAATTATAATACAATAGTAATAAATTTAATAATTAAATAAATATACAAAAAAAAAAGGATTCGACAATAAATAACAAATGAGGTTAACGTACTCATCAAGAGGTAAGGAAGAACAAAATTTATGGGTCAGATAATAGTTCAATTGACAGATATGAAGAAAAACGACAAAACATCAAAGGTCATAATATAATAGACTGAATAATAATCAAGAAAAATTGTAAATCAGAATGGGTTTTGTGGAGAGTTTTAGAAATTTCACAGGTTGAAATCATGAGTCAGTTGAAGCTAGACCACCATTGAAAACCTGGAAGCACTGGTTGGCCGTTTCGTCCAAGTATGGGACTCCTCAGCAGTGCGCATCCACGATCCCGTAATAATAAATGATTGAAGTTTAAAGTGCAAAATAGTAATTTAAATACAATATCTGTCAATTAGACTATTATCTGACCCTTAAATTTTGTTCTTCCTTACCCCTTGGTTAGTACGTTAACCTCATTTGTTATTTATTGAAATATACAAATATTCATCAAGATTCGAATGAATAATATGACCAAAAATTGGGCGCCAAATATAATAGAGAAGTCAGAATACCCTGAAGATAAGTTATTTGGATGAAACATTGAAGTGAGGCTATAATTTATGGACAACATTTGAGTGACGCTAGACTGATCTTGAGAGTGTTCATCTAATAATTAGGATCAAATGAGGGTTATGAACATGTGTGAGGAATTATAATTATAATCAAATTCTATCACATCTCCAAATAAAATACCTGTTTCTAACCAGTATGGATTCAAAGGGGAAGAGATATCAGGTAGAATTGATAAAAGGATTAAAGCAGCTTTAAAGAGAAGTTTCCCTGCGATCCACCTATTTTCAATGTATAATCTGAGATGTTCCTTAAATTGATCAAAAGTAGATCAATACTTTTCTGAGATCACGCTCAAATACATCTTAATGAATTTACATGTACTTGTAACAGAAAATACACAGGAAAGATTGTAAGGAGGTCATCTACAAGTTTTCTGAACATATTCCCCGAAAGTTGTGTTTAAAAGGAAATAAAGTATCCATAAGTGAGATCACTTGACATTTTATGTATAGTAGGGACAAATTAGAGACTACAAAGGTGTTTAAAATAATAAACAGGCAACGAACATCACTTCTACCTTACTTACAGAGGCCATTATCATCAGAAGCTTGTGACCTGACCTTTATATCCTGAAAGTGTAGTAAACCCTCCACTTTCATGATAGGTTAGCTATATTATTTCGACATTTGTCAATTATATCATCGCTTCATTGTAGTTTATAAATTAAAATATGGAAAATCCTACTGACATTCACTCAAGACTTTAATGTTATGTCAAATGGGTGCTTTGTTTATTACTCATTTGGTAACAGCTTGTTTCCATCCGTCATCTATTAGATAAAAAAATCACAATTTAACCCTCTTTTTCTCTGATTTCATTTTCAATACATGAAATACTAATCGATCTCAACTAGTATGTTAAATGTGTTTTCCCAAATTATAATCTTCCGAATTCTCAATGTCCCTTTTTTTCTTTTTCCAAACTTATTTCACTGGATTATACTCCTTGGATAACATCTTCAAACCCTAATGTTTCCGATTACTGCGTATACTTTTACTACCTCTACCACTACGGGATTTGAATCGACAACTGCATCTCTGTGCTAATATGGTATGGCAACTTGAACTGATTTACGTACGTACGAAGTTCTACGTTATTACTGATTGACTGACTGAGTATGTTAAATATATTGTCTCGCTTTCTTGTTTCTTATGTCATTTCGAAATAAACTTCATGGATTATAGTACGTGAAGAAAAATTATTTTTTGAGAATAATATTGCTAATGTAACTTCCTACTGATGTTTGGAACTGAAATCGATCAGTCTCTTATTGGCACATGTGCATCCAGTGAGGACTGACTCGATATTACCTTAAGTCACAAGCATTATAAGAAGAGATGGATGATGGCTTGCGGTGGAATCCAGGATGCATGTTTCATCCTATTTGGGACTCGTCAACTGAAATTTGATGTAATTTCCAAATAGGATGAAACGCACGTTTAGGATGTCACTGCTAGCCACCATCCATCTCTGCTTATAATGCTTGTGACTTAAGGCAATATCGAGCCAATCCTCACAGGATGTATATATGCCGATAAGAGATTGATCAACTGAAGCCCTAAATATCAGTGGGAAAATACAAACAAACAATACAAAATGAATTTAAAGTTTCTAGTATAAATTTGGTTCGTTTGCAGCTGATGAGAAGCCCTGAAACATAATAAATAAACATTATTCTACAACCCTTGTCTTTATCTAAAATTGTAGGATTTGTATCACTTACCGACATTGAATTTGAAAGAAAAACAATTATGGTTAAAACAAGGATAAATTTGATTTAAATTTTTATCTGTTTGTTAATTACACATATATATCAAATCATTCTACATAACGTGTAAAATGAGTAAACATGTACAGAATGGTTAACCTAATACATGGAAATAAAATAACTCACCTGTAAGATTACATAAGTGATGTATATCAGAAGAATGAACATTTACAGTGAGATTCGATTGGTAAAAATATTAAATTATAATAGTAACTAACACGTATCTAATGATTAGAAGATGAGTGCCCATATCTTTCAGCTTTAACTAGTAGTATACATGGATAATAAAAACAAATTTCAGATAGTGATTTCGATTATTATATTCCATTCACAGTATTATCATACATTGTTAACTTATTATTTGTACAAGGCTTTTTATTTGAACACACATACACGCAAACGTTTATTGTCGATATTTACATTACATATTCTAATATTATAACCTTCCGATTACATTATCACGTTTATTCAATGTTCATATGTGTCTTCACGGAACTAATATTTAAAATTTTTTTAGAGATATGAATACGATGGAGAATGCTGGTGGGCGGCCTATGCTCCACCACGAGAAGTAACAGGCGTAAGTAAGTAAGTAATGCGATTGTACAACATGATAAAAGAAAAATTCGTTGAAAAAGAAGATCGTTTTGTTGGATTTCATAATTTTAATCAGGTTAAAATCAGATAATAAGTGAAAAATTGCATAGTATGAAATTATTTTCTGTACACTTACTTTTACAGTACGTATTAAATCATGAACTTTACGTGTAGCTAATAATTGTCTAGTGAGTCGACCACGAAATACAGCGGAAAGAACTGTGAAACCATGAATTATACCAGGATTTTTACACTAGAAATAAAAATATACAACAAAGTGAGTAGTGGGATGATAATATATTGTAAAATTTGATATTATTTCTTGATCACTTTACATTCGCAAATACCTATTGAATCTACAACACTGATTGTTAGGTACGAAGTGATAGTTTAAGTAGACCTACCTAATAGTCAATTAAATCAATGATAGTGGCTATTCTATTTGTTTGTTTTTTGGTATACAAATTCAGTACCAACCATAATCCATTAAATACGAAACTTTGAATATGCCTTTTTTAAAGTATGTCAGACTCCTTAGATTAGGGAGAAAGTACTATTGTGAAGTGGAAACACAGTGACATAAATATAAAGGTAAGTGAGGTGCTAGGCTTTTCTAATGTGAAGTGTTTTGACGTTTTTTTGTTTGTTTTAGGTTAAATCTTAGATAAATCATACTATCAGTAATGGACGCGGAATATTATGTACTTTTGTAGCGTATGGCTAAGTAATTAAACTTGAATAAGACAGATGAGTAGAGAGCCTTTATAAGGTTAATGTACTTCTTTGGTACTCTTTTCAGTGACAAACAGTACCATAGAACCTCAAGATCAACAGAGTCAAATGCTGCCTTAACGTCGAGAAATAATACGGCTTCAGATTCCCTATAGCTTTTTCAACCTTGTAAAGGGCATCTTCAAACCCCAATGTTTCTGATTACTGCGTATACTTTTACTACCTCTACCACTACGGGATTTGAATCGACAACTGCATCTCTGTGCTAATATGGTATGGCAACTTGAACTGATGTACGTACGTACGTACGAAGTTCCACGTTGTTACTGACTGACTGACCTATAATTGTCGTCTTATTAACGAGTTAACATACAAGTTGAATGGGAGCTCTTTTGAGTCATTTCGAAAACTATTTACTATATTATAAAGAATTCTGGGGAAAAACTGATTTAAAATCATATAGGCGAGTCTATGTATTTAAAATACTTTGATTTTGATCTCAAAAAGATTATTATTAACTATGATCAATCCTAAGAATACATAAAAACATTGTATACATTTAAGTCTCGATACTTTTCATCAGTAGATGTTTCATTTAAATCACTTACACACTTATTGGCTAATAAAAAGCACAAAAATTGTTTTAACAGGAGTTTCATTTCAGCAGTGCAGAAAAGCTTAACTATACTCTAGAACTAGAATGTACTGAAGGAAACTTTGGATAATCTATATTTGTCAAAGTCTGTACGTTGATTAAAACAGTGATCTACAGAGTAGCTGAGTTTTATGATCTTTGTTGCTGTTGATTTAATTTAAACATTTTCCCGAAGCTAGTTAACAATTTATTATACTATTAAATATCGGTGTTACTCAATGAATAGTTATCAATACACCATTGTAACCCTATACTACTTACTAGTGTCGAATAGTATGAGTTGTATTACATTTATCCCTATGTTTGATGTGTAATGCTTTGACAAGATCACTATCACTTACTTCATTTACTTTTAATTCCATATTTCGATCCAATATTTGCTACTCATAATTACGTTACTCATTTTCTATTCCAAAGATTTTATTTTGATTGATTTATTCTTGGATAGAAGATTTATTAAACAGTACTTGTTAATGTTCAGTTTTGATTATTATTTTACTATTTAGACACGTAAACATTGTTACAAGGAGGCACCAAATGGATATGCACCACACAGATAATTTGATCTATGTGAGGGATGGGACACTACTCGGGCGCTCGAACTGAAGCAGTCAGTCTTGATAGTGGTCATGTACTCTTTAAGTGTTCATACTCAGTTTTGTAAAATTATTAATATTTATTGATGTGGAAGATTTATTTATTTTTCAAATTTCCCACAGACACATGAACTAAAACATGGTTAACCCATGACTTCAAGGTTTATAAATTAATAGTGTTTATTATCATTTCTAAAACACCACTGTAGTTCTAAACAAATATCACAAGTTAGCTTCGGAATTTTCATGTTTGCCTCATTTGTTCAGTCTAATTTCTTCCATAAAATCTATAAAAATGATATACAATATACAGTAAATATGTATATATATTTTGGCCATAACAAAGCTATTACAGTTTATCGCAACTCATATTGTTTTAACTTAGAAAATCAACTCAGTTACCCATATACCGTATAACAATATAACGACTGGAAATTGCATTGCAATGTTGAACTAAACAAGATATGATTTCAAAAACGAAAGATTATTTTAAACAACTAGACAATAAGCGCAACATAATTATAAAACTAAAGTTATGTGGTGGCTAGAAATGGAATTCGGGGTGTACGTTTCATTGTATTCAGCTGGATGTATCTGGATCCCAATAGGAATATCAGCATTGAGATGAAGGCACATTCAACTGACAAGTCCCGAACACGACGAAACGCCTTCTCTGTATCCAACTAATAGCCACTGTACACATCTAGGACTCAACGGAATTATCGTGACGATCCACTCAGCACGCACAAATGTCAGAAGAGACCAATCAATCGCAATCCTCAACATAAGCAACGGAAAAATACAAATCCTTAAAACTAAAATACGGAAAACACTTACCAAACGTTCAATTTTCTGTTCAGATAATGGACAGCTTTGAGGATTTCCACATGGACAAGATAATGAATGACCGTTTGCGTTGGTTTCATCGGTGTTAGATTTCTAGAGAGGAAAAAGATTGAAAATCCAGTAAATGTTAGGGCAGTAGGCAAGTTAGTAAGAAAAAAGATTAAGATAGTGGAGAACATTTGTAGCTGGAATGGTGATTTGAGTGAAACAGTGTTTTCTCAGTTAGGTACAGTAATTGTATGTTTCATGGCTTTTATGGCAAGACAATGGTTAACAATTTCTATCCTACTTATAGCAATTGTATATCAAGATGATTTTTAAATAAAACCTCTGGAACTGAGTATGATAATCCCTTGTCTTGAAATAGTGTTAAGCAGATCTTCATAAACAATTCCCCAGTTCATCAACCAATATAATTCTGTCCATCTTTGAAAAAACTAGGAGCTGATTATCTAAATCGAATATCTTTTGATACGTCAGTACTTAAGATCACCCTCTGAACACTACATTCAGTGGATTAATTCGGAAACTTTTTTATTTTTTCAGAACGCATGATAGTATTCATGCCCGGAATACATTTAAAATGATAGCAAATTTATTGGACCGGAGTTAATCACCGAAAGACTGAACAGTGTACACTTACTGCATTACGCATTTAAAGGATAAGAAGGCACCTATTACTGTAAATAAAGCTGAAAAGGCATAGTAAGTATAATAAACCGTTCATTTTTCAATAAAAATGAAACCCACTAACATTATCACTAATAACAAAATTAATCCACAACCATTATTTATGTTAATTTTAGGATATGGTGTCAGTCACATTTATCACTGAACGTAATATATGCCGAAGGTAACAAATCAAATATATCGTGAATATTGAATAACCTGAGAGGGCTTACTTCAGGAACACAATAACGCAATACAGAGTCTGATAGAGACATTGTGGTATTAGGATTTGAATTGAAATAATGTAAAGAATGATTATCTGGAATACAAATCGCTCGACATTCAGACGATGGTAACTGTGCAGATAATGATGACGGCATGCTTTGATGATAGCTAATATGACCGGTAAAACCTTCAGTTGAATTGTTTAAAGAATATGATGGATTTAAAGCAATACGTTGATTAGCACGTAATAATTCCCGACGGCGAAGTTCATAAGTCACTGTACTAATAGTGGGCTTGAAACAAAAAAGAGAGCTAAGGGAATGTTAAAAATTGTTAATCTACTAACACGAGTAGAATGATTAAGTAATGTTGTGTATAAAAACAAAATCAATATATTACTATCAGATAGATACATTCAATGACATTCATAAATTGTACTAAGAGTATAGATATGTCGAATATTGTTCAAATTTAAACAGGAAGTTATAGACAAACTAATAACTACAGTTACTGTAAGACCTCATAATAATTACATTGATTAGTCATCGGGTAAATTGATCAACAGAATGTTTATCAGATCTTTAGGGCTGGATGAGGTGGGGGCGAATCCCACAAAGAGTGTATTAGTTCTTTGAGTGTTATAAGCGTCCCTCGCCGATAAGTGACAACTAGCAATAAACCTAGGTTTAGGGTTGTCTAACGACTACCTCCAGTTGCCTAGCGTTATAAAACTGTTTCATGCTTCTTGATAAGTAAAACGCGTACTTGCAGTTTCGAGAAATCGAATTATTCTACAAAGACTAAAAAGCAATAATATTATTACTAATGGCTTTATTCAATATTGTATGTTAAGTAAAATATGGAATCCCCGGCACAAAGTATTTCAACAAGTTTCTTTTACAAAAAAGATTTATGAAATCGATAGCGGCACATATGAAATAAGTAAATTAATTTTCTTGAATTAAATGAAATGTTTTTTGATAAAACAAGGACGTATACCACTGCTAATCAGCAACATGTTCAAAAATACAAGTTTCTGAAAAGGTCAGACCTTACAACCTGTTCGATGAATAATAGATTTTCTGGATAAGGTATTGTAAAAAATTTTTACCTTTGATTGCATGAATGGACTCTAATGTATCGGCGTCTCATTTTACCAGAAGATATACAAGTAGAAAGATGTGAATGAAGTGGATGGTTAGTACCTGATCAGATAACACTTGCCAGGAGTTTGCAAGATTCTAAATGTCTATCTGCAATCTTATTCATAGTTCAGCGAGAATATAGATAAGATGTGCTTGTTAATATCATTTGATCAACAAGTACGGAATTTATGTACTGGGCTTTTAGTCACATAGCTTGTGTGACGGTTAGTGATACTATTCAGTCTTACAGACCGAAGTAGCTCAAACAAGATCCGAAATTGCTAACGATATACACAACACTTAGTATATCGATAAACAAGTTGTGTAAGGTAAGGAACTTTCTATACATGTTATACGATAATGAAGCAAGAGAAAACAACCTACAGGAAAAGAATATTGAGGTTGACCGTCATTTCGAGATTGGTTAGAATCATCACCGGAGCATTCAGGATTGGCTGGCGATTCATTATGATCAGATACGTCCACTATCTCAGAAATAGAGGAATCGATACCACGTTGTGGTGTCAAACAAGTTGTTTTTTTGTCAAAATCTAACTGGGATTCATAAGCAGTAGTGTCCGTGTTTACTATATTGTCCATATTTTTCTGAATATGATCAACGATGTGATTGGATTTTGATGATTCCAAACCCAATGACTATGTAAGATTAGAAAGAGAATAAGTTTATTTGGATGAATTATTTCAGTAATTTTGTTGGTAAACAGAAAATATTTACTTTTGAGATTTACGTAACGTAACTATATAACCTGCAAGTAACATTTTTCACTGTACAATACCCTCGCTCAAACCTCACTAGTTATTTTGAGGTCAGCTCACTTTTCACTGGCCAATTCACTTGTTGACTGTTTGGTTACATTGAACTGTTCATTTTTTGCTTAACTGTGCCTAGGTACACTTGCCGAATGGTAACACAACCTCGACTCAATCGCTCAAACATATACAAAGTCAAAACAGTGGGATCACAAGCACCTATAAGAAATGTTAATTTCCAGAAGTATCAACTGTAGTTTCCTACTGATGTCGATTAAAGACTGTATGAAAAAGATTTTGGATATTAGCACTCATATAGTACTAGTATGAAGGCTAAAATTTAAATTAAAAAATAACACATATACCATAATATTATATTTCTTAAATTTTTACTGCTGATTTACTTTCCAAATTCATTACATATGTACTAATTAGATAGGTACATATCCCTACACAACAAGTATAACAAACTGAACAATATACAACCCTACAGACGGTTATAAAATTGTGACACCCTTAACATTTGACCAAATAGTCGACAATAAGGTTGTTCACGGAAGCATTTTATCATCCGCTCCTGAATAAACGCAAATAATCAGTTTTCGTACAACTATAAAATCAAATTTCACATACTATAATAACAAACACTTAGAAAAATATTGAAGTAACACGACAGTTTAGATGTTTGATGGACCTGATTTTCAACGTATTGGAAGAAGGATCTAATGTAGGCACTATAAAAATGTAATATGACTATAATTTCATTATTAAACAACATTACATCTAATTATAAAAAGTCAAACAAAGCATGGTTATTTTAATATGGTTTAAATAAATAATGGTACGAAAGTACTTCATGCTATAAAAGTAAAACAGAGAAATTCCTACACTGACCATCAATACTCTGCGTAATTCTTCAGCGTTTTTCGAAATCACATCAGTTATTACTGAGGAATTTGGCGACCTCCTAGTTACAGTCTAAAACAAGAAGACAATTTTAAACTAATACAGTCATGCATTAGTTGAATGAAATAATGAGACATAAAATGATGCATTCTTACTAAACAAATTCTCACACTGAATACAAATGATTCACCTAATTACTAAGAAATTTAGTCCTAGTGTAATGACTATAGAACTGAGTTATGCTATCTAGAGTCTGTAATAATAATAATAATAATAATAATAATAATAATAATAATAATAATAATAATAATAATAATAGTAGTAGTAGTAGTAGTAATAATAATAATAATAATAATAATAATAATAGTAGTAGTAGTAGTAGTAGTAGTAGTAGTAGTAATAATAATAATAGTAATAATAATAGTAATAATAGTAAAACTTCCGGTTGAACATCAAATAGCAATATCACCTCCTACACGTGAACGAAGTGATCAGCTTGCTTTGAGTAATAATAACTAATGATGATAATCAGTACATGTGCGGCTGATGAGAAAATATTGGTAGTTTTGTCGTGAAATTGATGATTTGAGGAAAGGCAATAAGAACTTATTCACAGAGTACTCCCATAGGACTTTCTCCTGATCACATTGCTGAACGATTTCTAATAAAATAGTCAATTTAAATCTGCTAAGCGACAATGTCAATGCATTAATAGCAAACAATACAGAACCTCGCACTAAGATGCATGAACTCAAATCATCATAATTCATTTCAGTATACAGACAGAAAGTAAAAAAAACAAGGCACGACGTAAAAACTATCAGTGTCAACAATGGAAAGCCAAAAGAAAGAAAAAAACCGTTGACTGACAGGTAATATAATACTAGAACCATAAAGACCGAGGTGAAAAACAAATGAATCCATCTACATTCAATAAAAGAATGAAGAAGTGTCATTATTAAACGGCGCGCAGGCGTTAGATGTAGCCTGAATAATATAAACGGATAACAGCTAGAGTAATCGTGCTTTTACCGACAATAAAATGAAGCGATATTTCCGAAATAGAACTTTTGGATAGATTTTCAATGGAGAACTTGAACTCAGTATACTGCTTTTTAAGTTTTACACAGGTGACCGATGCATTACAGATGAGGCCAGACATGTTTAAGTCATAAATTAATTAATATACCAATGAAGGAAAAGCCACTTCTGTTGGTATGGTTTTTTGTTGCGGGTGCGAAATAATTTGCTACTTGATCAACGAAACAAGAATGAAATGGCTTGGTACAACGAAGAAAAAAGACTGTAGATAGAGATTAACTTATACAGAATACTGATTCACGACTGATCAAAATGACACCAAGATGTACAATGAGATATAAATCAATTTGAAAGTCATATCAACAGATAAATTTCAATGTAATATACTGGTAATAGTTCACATTATTTAATCATCAATTTAACGCATGTGTATGATTTATGAAATCAGCATGCCGAACGGCCTTAACGAGGATATGTAACTAAATTACCAATATATATATTGTACCTCATTCGGACGAAGACACAAGATGGACTGTTAATTCATTCTTTATCCACCACAAAAGATAAATCCTTGTGATAAACAGGTAATTACTATCAGTTAAATTACTTTGTTGAACTTTTAGTAAACTCAGTACAGTAAACTATTAAAAGATTCAGTTATCGGGAAAAGAATTTGGCATGTATTTCGGTGAGACTATAATTTATGGATGACCTTTGGAAAACACCAAAGTTACATTGTGAATATCCACCTACTAACTAGGACTAAATGAGGGTTATAAACCAATGTGAGGAATTGCAATTATGATTTACACTTGATGGTTATGGTTAGGAATTAAAATTGGGGCTTTTATCACAAAATGACAAGCTAAAATGCCAAAACGCTATTTAGACAAATGGATGAATGGGTATTGCTCCAAAATCCACGACCTGTTATCTTATATCTGATTGGTTCGTCAATAAATTATAGTCTCACCTGGGTTTCTTATATTATTTACTTGTATCCCAAGATTATCTCACACATGAATTTTAGACCCTACTAAAACAGATGAAAAATAGTAACGCCCTTGATTTTCACAGTGACAGAGAGAATTTAAATTTACTACCATGTAATAAGTCGCAAAACTAACATTTTGTTTAGATGATAAGTTATAACCAGAACTACTCTCTATATGAAAAATCTAAAATTATCGACGAGCCCAAAATAAATAGTAGGTGAAATATAGGACTCTGGATGGAATTATATTAATCTGTAAAAAGTTGAGACCTGGTTATAGCAAAATCTCAACATGTTTATAGACTTCAAGAATACCTCAAGCTGTTGATGTTTGTCGTCGTGATTGCTTTCGGATCCGCGATAAACACCTATATCATCCTTGTTAGAAGCTAATTCAAGATTTCCTCGTTCATTTATCTTTAAAAGTAAAATGCGAATCGGTCGACTCACAATTTCTGGCAATCTTCCATTCTTATGAACAAAATCAAGTATTTCACTGTTTACTCTTTCTAGTTCTGTTACTTCATTATGTAACATTTTCACTTCTTCATTCTGTGTATCCAAAGCATTTCTAAAAAACTGAAACATATGGGCAGTTGTCAGTAGTAAACAGCGATTGTAACCGGCGCCAAACAATCAGCCCGTCAGATCTCCTGGTCTATAGTACTTTCAGTAAACCCGCACAAGGTCACATCTAAGACTTCGTATCACAGTGACTAAACAGGTGGATTGGTGTATCAGCTATTTAACAAAATATACTTTCGATATAACTTTGCGTTTGCTTCATGAGGACTAGGTAGAAAGACGATTGGTTTTCATCATTATTATAGTGGAAACACCCTAACTGAAGGCGTTCGGTCACGCATCCCCACCAAATCAAAAATGGGTACTTTGTGCTACTTATCCCTTGAAACTACTAGCCAGATTGGATCAAACGCTCTTCAACATATTGGCAATCCTCCAAATATTTTTTTTCGAGCTCATCCATTACTGACTTCTGATTTGACTGAGATGGTATTCTCAAATTGTAAAGGTGTTACGGATAAGTGTTGTCAAACCCTGAAAACCCGAGGCACCTTAATATCTATCTTTTATGTGGCATCCAACGTCAGTAGGTTCGGCTATTACCTGTAAAATACTTTTAACGTTTAAACGATATGCCTTCCTTGCATGTATGCTGCATTAAATGATTTCACTTGCTGATATACATCTGTACCCACTTATTTATATAATCTTCCTTCTAAACTTTATCATCTGTTCATTGTTCTCAGAGAGTTTCGATGTAATCATCCGTACCTAGATGTTACTTTTAGGTATTCTAAGTCTGTGGGGTTGTCTCTTGTATAACCCACATTTTTGTCATTATTTACTAATCTTGTTTTCACATGTATTTACACACTTGTATATACATTTATGACCAGATAAACTCCCAAATATATCAGGTTAAAAAACCCAGATCCTTCACTTCACAACTTCTCATTCGGTCCCAGTAATATAAGATTCCATCAAGCAAATGAGGTTTTCAAAGAGTATTTCCTTACTACTTAAAGGTCACCACTGAATGAACAGAACAAGTACAATGAAGGAGTTTTTGGTGCCTTTGTGTTTATTTTTATGTGAAAATCCACATGAACGCACTCGATACATGAACTTCGCTTTGAATCCCTTTCAAAATGATGCTTCTTTTATCCCTCTCTGTACTTGTGCACACTACGTTCATATTTTTTATTTGTATTCAAATACATTGTCTACATATCCTAAAAACAGATAACTTCCTGATGTTGATGAGTCTTCGAATGCCCGTTATATCTCTATTTTACTTAACATTATCATTCTGCTTTCGCCATAGTGTATTACTGTATCTCAGTTACTACTGTACGAATTGACTACTTCTGTCTTGTATCACTGAGACAGGAGTGGAGTTTCTGGTTTTTAGGAACGCTGCCTGTCGATAGCCGGTAACTGGTTGGGTAGTTTTTATTTGTTGGTTAGCTACTTAATTTTAAAGCAAATTAAACCAATCTATCCCTTTTTCGGTGGAATATCGATCCTTGACTGCTAGGAATATGTTTTCCGCTTGTGACAATGAGGCTTAGTAATAATCGCTAATTATGGAGTTCTGTATGTATAAGTGTTCTCTCGAAGTCAGTGACACAATCGGCACAACTGACTTCACGTATTTGGAATTTCAATCATCTGTGGAGTCGTGTACAAAAGAAACCATTAATTAGCACAAACAACACGTCTTACAAAATGTTATTATAACTGGTATCCGTACTTATTAGAAAAAGTATCTTCAGGTATATTAAGTTTATTTTTTGTGCCTTTATTTTTAAAAATAGTGCAGCCTTCATACCTTTCCGTTCATTTTTTAAATTATTACAAAGAAGTTATTGCTCATTGTCTTCTTTCAGGTTCATGTAAAATCGAAAAGGAATTACTGAAAAGTTTAACGGCACAGATATATTGGAATCTGTTGAATGCTGGATTGTTCAACGACTATAAATAATGGTTCATTAAGAAACACAACAATGAATTTAGGACACATCAATGCTGGACGCACTCATGCTCATTTGCCAGGTGCGATTACGAAATGCATTAAATTATCAGTATTTTGATGTATTAAAATATTTTTTGATAACAGCTTATAATTTATTTCGGTATTAATAAGTGTATCTTTGTTGCTATTATATTAGACTAAACCCCAAAATCAAAGATTTATAATGACGCGATTGCCTAATCTACAAGATCTAATGTAGAATTCGCACCATCGTCTATACTGATTCGTCTTATCATGACGATCAGCAGTATGATGTTTAGTACTGTTGGAGAACACATTTCGGCTGGGGAAAAAATAACATGTTGAATGTAGAAAGGTATGAGCTATATTGGATGACCACGCCTGTAAGTCTGAACCATGCCACACCGGTTGATTGTTCCTGCATGGCAACAGTAGAACAACACTCATTCATAATTTCTATTTTTCAATTTGAGTGTACACTAATTTACAAGGTTTACATAGGACCTAAGACGGTGAAAAAAATTTGGAAGTCGGTAACGGTTATGTTGGGACGGCTTTCGTGAACTACGACGGGCCATCCACAAGCTTTAGAGGAGCTGAAGAGTTCTATCTAATCAGAACTTGATGGAGCTTTCTATAATATTAACATAGCATGCTATTGTTAGTCATTGGTATATCACGTCTCTTTGCGGATTGGTTGAATTATAATGTTGATTTAACGAACACTAATCATTATAAATACACACGGTTTCCTGTGCATTTTGATTCCTGCCCAACAAACACATTCTCCAGTCTTCTTCTGTCTTCTTATCTGCAAATTGGAGGATTCTAGCGTTCGAGTGCTCAAATCATACGCAATATATTAAAAATATAAGCTCTAGATAAAACAGGTCAGCGCTGTGACATTATCGACTTTGCTTTGGTAAGTCATGCAAGGGTGGTCGATCTACGTGATTCTTAGGTCTTTATGTGTGTGTCGATAAGAATGTTATCGTTCTTATAAGGCTTTTACAAAGCACCGGTGTGACTTTGAAACGAGAACATATGGGTTAGACAGATAATACCGATTAATGTTTCCAAACCTAACTCTTTGATACATGTATAAACACAGGGCATCAGGTTGAAATCTCCCAATAATATAATTATTTCTTTGCCTTCTGCAACACTGAAGGTCATAGGAAAGTTTGGGATGAATCTCCGCACAACCACTAACTTAATAACTCGTTCGTCTCTGACTCATAACACCACTTTTAGTCAGACCGTATAACACAAACCTGTTAGCTGCCTGGAATATATAAATCTCCATTTTTCTAATCCGTTCTCAATAACAAACACTTGGCCGTTCAAGCTCTCATTTTATTGTCTACTGTTGACGTACCATGTAGAATCTCAAACCCTGACTTACATAGACGTCCAATAGATCTGAAGGTAAACAGTTGACCTGGATGTCATCTTGACTGTCGTAGAAGACTTGAACAGTACACAAGACCAAACTGCAAATAATCTCCTTATTCTCAACACCAATCAACTCAGGATGCCAGTGGCAAACAATAGCAATACTACGCCCACTCCATACTTGTTGAGTGTTATCAACCTTATTTCCACTACTGAAGGCCTGGGGTATCACTCTGTCATACTTCGGGTGGCTCTTAATGGCACTATACTTAGCGTATTCTTTCTTGGAGTTTCTTTGATAAGCATTAAATAGCTGAACTCCGAACCTTTTACAAACTATTTTCAACACTTATCTAAGACTTCATCTGGATAATGCTGTTGCATTATGATCCTCTGCCTAAGAAAGCATTATGATGTCGTGGGATGTGTTCAAAGAAAGGGAACTAAAAGTGTATTCGAACTTATAAATGAACCCTGATTAGCCCCTCTTGAAGCCCTAAACTTACGACTTGTGCAGTACAGAATCATTAAATTGGATATAATTATGATACATCATATATCTCATGATCATTTTCGTACCAAAATATAACTAACTCGGTTTAGTACGAAGTTACATCTCAGAGGATTTCCATTTAGAGCGAAACATGAAAGAGTTCTCACAAAAGCCCATGGAAACTATTTTTGGACCAAAATCTTCAAACTATAAGGCTCTTTATCAGAAGCAACACTAACATAGCCTTTCAGAAGAAGGCTGGATAGAATGTGAGTGATAAATGCAAGTGTCATCTCACGATTACTTTGACTATTAATAGCCCACTTGTTTTAACCCCCAGCTTTAGGAAGGACATAACATGAAGCACACCTTCCTACAGTCGAAAACGTTTTCCTACCACTTAGACGGAGATCCATTACGTATTATCATTAATTAGCTCCTTATATCACCTCGCTCCTTACCACATTCTCTCACCCGTTGTTTGCCCAAACATTTGATTTCTTACGTGTTTAGCCGCTCGTTAAATCTATTTATCTATTTACTTTTTTTCGTTCACTCAATTCTGTTCCATTCCTGAAATCGTCTATAGAATAGCCAACCACTCGATTGTTCTATAAAGCGATAGCTTCTGGTTTTAGTAATCCCTTGAGTAGAGCATTCATTTAGAGTGGATACAAATCTTCTTTCAAGTAACTGAGAAAATTAGTAAAACTAGTATAACAGATTGGCTAGACTACTCACATTGGACGATATCGAAGACCTGGAACCGCGCTCTGACATCAAGAAGCGAGCGCGATTGAAGCATTTCACCTGTGAAAATTTGCCACAAAAGTATTGAATATTAGAGACGCGGAAATACATCTGTAGTGCTACTCAAGTCTAATGTCTACGAATCCTGGACCTAATGAGTTGTTTTCAACATTTTACGAAGAAGTCAAGGCTATTGAGAAGCGAGATTCAGTATTAACCCCGAAGCAACAAATAGATAGACTTAATCGGCCTGGATCAACTTATTTTAATTTGAATCCATATGATGTATGCTTGGTGTAACATTGTTCAAGCAACCTAGGTTTTACAAGTGGATCCTGATGCAGCAATGGCTGATATAAAAAAGAAATACAGACAGGTTTCATCCCCAAATTTTGTATATTCCAATTTAGCTATCTCTGCTTGTACATCCGGATAAAAACCCAGATGATATTGAAAGATCTCAGAAAGCCTTCGAAGGTATTGCTTGTTTTATTAAGTGAAATAATTGAGTAGCTGTAAACAAGGCTTACAAGGCTCTGGATGACCCCGAAACTTCCCGCAAATGCAAAGAAGTGGTGGAGGAAGCGAAAGATCTTGTTGAACAAATGGTATTAGCAACCATACTACTGTCTATCATTTCTAGATGATTGAGAAACGGAAACGTGTTAAAAAGACAAGCGGATCTATTACGATTGAAGAAGATGACCCTGAAAAGGTAGCTTGTCTGTTATTTCTAACCGTTACAGCGGCGTCATGCCATATATGTGCAAACATGCAAACTGTTCGCTGATCTTGAGAGACTAAGGGTGGAAGAAGAGCAAAAACAGTGTTCAGAAAGGTTTGTCTTTGTCGAATTTTTTTTAAAACTCAACTTGTGCAAAAACATTATTGCTCGTATGTCTAAGCTGTAATCGTTGGTTCTACTCCGTTATCTCATATGACTTAAGTGATATATCCCTATTAAGCTTCAGAAAATTCAATGATCTAGTATACCAGAGGCTTCTGAATGACATTTAGGAGTCCCTCTAGAGTCTTGACTTACTCTCATCAAATTTATCTTAATCGTATGCATTTATTTCCCCAAATTTCTGAGCACGAAACATCATGGGTCGTCATCTTGTGTCACTTCTTCGAAAGCATTTCTCAGAACTTACACTGCTATTTATTGGTCTGGTACCACACTTCTGTGTGAATTTTATGTGACTTCATATATCTAAACAAATTTTGCGTGCGCTATCTGGGGAACGGGTGACGCTCTTTAGGTTTGACTCATCTATTTTTTTTTACTTTCTAAAACCACCTAACTGATTTTCCATTACCTATCCACTAGCCTTGAGATATATCAGTTAAGTTTTCGTTTCTAAATCTATAGGGGAAAACTTAGGTATTTTTGTTTTTCGACGATTTATATACCCAGACATCCATCGAGCGCATAGGAAAATAGTTTTGTTCGGTAAGGATTTTGACAAAATGGAGTTTTCGGAATATCCTAAGCAAAAGTACTTAGGATTCGTCCCGTAACTCGAATTCGAGTATTTAACTACAGGTATCTTTGGGATATCCCTCATATTATAATCAGTGGTCGAGCCTATCTATGTAGGCTAGATTATTCTGAAGATGGTTGGTGAGTTTGTAAGCCTTTGTCGACTGTGGTGTTTGTGATATGGTACGTATGTTTGGTCTGCCTGTCCAGTTTGTCATGATCGATGTAGAACATCACAATAATGCCAATCAGTTTTCGTTACCATACTTCAGGGCAACGATATGTAACCATAGTAAATAGCAAACAAGTTAAAATAATCCTAACATCGATGACAGTGAAAAATTACTATCTGATCTTTCATTGCGTTGGTAGTTTAGAACCTATTAGACAATCATAACACACCACTCTTCAATCAGTAAAGACTTACGTTGTGATGTATTCTAGCCCAAAATTTTAATATGCTCCACTCTAATTTAGTTGAAATTTTTTAGTAGACTTCATTCAGAAAGCATTTAAAAATTGTCCAACATCAAACAGCTCCAAATGAAAACCACAAACTTTGTATAGTAAGTATAGTAATAATAATAAGCATGTCGTTATCCAACCCGGGTTAGGAGTTCATTGCCCACATCCTCCAAATCGTGCGATCTTGAGGGATAGTACGATTTTCACTTGGTATCATCAATAGGCATCTGTGGAGAATTCGTTACTCTTGTTTACTAAGGGTATTATCTATTCATCATGCACACATAATATTTATGTCCACTCATCTGTAACTCCTTTCGTTGATTCTCATTTTTAATTAGAAAACGCAAAGCTGAAGAGGAGGAGGAAGGAAGAAAACTCATGGCGTATGACAAAGAGTGGAAAAAGAATTATGAAGTTAGTGTATATTCGTCTTTTTTTGTATGTATTTCCATGATGGTTCCTGTGAAGCTCCTCAAAAACGCCGACTTTTCATCGTATCTTTAAAATTATCGTCGTAATGACACTAACAAATGAGGACAGGGGTTCATCAAACCTGATAGTTCTGTTTAGTTTCGCATAGAATTGGTTGGTGATGGAAAAAATGACTGCATATATCAACTAACTGCTTTGGTCTTTATCAGGACCGTTAATAAATTTAGAAATACCACTTTTTAATTAAAATTTTGTTAAAGTATTACTTTAATTAAGTCGAATACATTCCCAATTTCAAGAAGTGGTTTTGTCCTAATGATAGACAGGCAAAAAGAAAGAAATTATTGGGTAATTTAAAGGTATGTCAGTCCAATTCCCTTCGTTTCAAATCAGCATAACAAAAATATGATAGAACAAGATGAATGACGTAAAATAATGATACTAACGATGATAGAAAGCCAGATAGAAGAAAAGGCTCCTGATCAAACAAGATGGAAATTACAAACCAATACACTGTTCAAGATTTTTTAGGAGTGAAGAATGAATACGTGTACATCAATGGGATTAATTTCGAGCTACATTACATTACGGTTATCTCTCAGATTCCAACCAGAAAATTGTCATGTCACTTTATGGCTCAGACCATTTAGGCTTAGGATATTTTACAAAGGTGGCATTTTGACAGTGCAGTGAGTCTTCATCCTCTGAAGTGGTTAGGAGTAGGCTGGATGAAAGCTAGGGGCGGCCAGACCAAAACATGGCACAAATTTATGAAGTCACTGACAAGTGGACTGAGCCATGTTGGTAGGTATGGACTACCTGGTTGGGATCCGCGAGACGATAGCAACTGACGGTTAGAGACCTTGAATAACATGGCTCAAAATCGTTAGCAATGTCGCAGGTGCATCCACTCTTTGTGTTCTTCCAAATTCTAACCTTCTGAATTCTTCATGTCCTTTTTTCTCTTTCCGAATTCATTTCACTGGATTATACTCCTTAAATAACCTCTTCAAACCCTAATCTCTCGGATTACTGCTTATCCTCTTACTACTTCTACCACTATGGGAATTGAATGGACAATTGTATCTGTGTGCTAATGTGGTAAGGCAACTCGAGCTGACGTACGTACATACAAAGTTCTACGTTGTTGACTGACTGACTGAAGTGTTTAGGACATGTACTACGTATGCCTAATCACCGCCTACCTCGATGGGAAATGCTTTAGGTTGGGAGAAAATTACGTGGAGTCAGACCGAAAATTGGTACTTGTCCGTGAAGTCGTTGACTGTTGGTTTGAGTCATACTAGTAAATCCAGACTGCCCGGTTGGGGTCCACGTGACAACCATAATCAGTGGTTTGAGACCCATTCACTCTTTATTGTTCTTTCGAGGTTGAATTTAAGTATCCCTTCATATATACCGTTCTACTGCCTTTTCAAACCATTTCAGTGTTTAATCTTTCTATTTATCATTGCAACTAAATTATTTTTAATTCGTCAACGTAAGTTATGCTTGGGTCTATTTTGATGATGTTTGTCCGTCTGTCTTTTAAACCCTTGGCAAAAGTCACCGGCCCATTTACATTATTTTAACCAGTACTACATATCTAGCATCATTATGTTCTATCTACGTCTAATCATTGCTTCAAAGATATTTTTGATCGAACACATGTATTTATTTATTTAAACACATAAACATTGGTACAAGGAGGCACCAAATACATAAGCGCCACATAAATCATTCGATTTGTGTGAGGGCTGTGATACTGCCCGGGTGCCCAGACCGAAGCAGGTGGTTTTCTTAGAGGGCCACACCTCGAGCCTTTGACCTAAAGGTCTGATCCACAAGGCAGTGGAGCATCGTAAGGAGATGCAGTCCCATGGTAGCCGGTGACCAACGATTAGTTCATACGCCATTTGTTCCTGCAGGATACTGGAGCCTATGTGCACCATTAGTTTGGAATCCGGTTAAAGCGCCGAACATCCGCTTTTCGTCCTCTCATTTTCGTAAACAACACCCCCGCCATGAGAAGGCAGTGAGTAGGACTTCCCTGACAGAGACTGTGTACGCGTGGCCACGTGAGAGCATTTCGAGAGGGAGGGCGGACCCACCCCACTCTCGGCCATACCGGGGCATTTATATATGAATAAATAATAACAAAAAATGTTTGGTACTGTAAAGCTTCCATATATACCCTACGTAAAACAAAAATGCAAGTGCGAGGAAAAATAAAAATTGGCAAATCATGTAATAAAATGCTAATAGAGGTAATGAGCAATAAAGTAAGGAATCATACAAAATTTATTTCATTTAGCTACAAGATGAGTTGTATGGTTTATGAGAGACCCAATCAAACCAATAACGTAATCATCACTTGCTTCTTTTCTGAGTCATGCCCGTTGACATCCCAAGCACTCAACATTTAACCAATAGATCAGAGCTACAAACCGTGTTTCACCGATTAGGGGAGCTGGATTTCACCACGAGCCCTCACACAGTCTCAAAATGGAGTACATAAATCCCTACTAAGTCCATAAATTACATCATTTCATTTCAATTCATTAAGTTTCACCTTGCTAATAATTTTAATGGGTTGGATGAAAACCCTGTTAATCTGAATGCATAAATCCATATCTATTTTAACTATCAGTAACGAGATGATTGAAAAATAATAAACATTTAATGTTGAATCTAGGTTCAAGTTTTCACTATCAAGAGCCATGACATTGCAATAGGTTAACTATATCTACCACTTGTTTGCTCCTGTTTTTGCACGTCAACTAAGAGGAAATACCTTACGGTTTATTTCGTTTTCTCTCTTCAAACAAATCTTTTCTTATTTTCAAAGGAAAGTCGTGTTAATCGTGTTGCAAGTTGGCGAGATTTCAAGGCGAAAAAGTCCAAAACATCAAAAGGTATAGGCGGTTTAAAACCACCGAAAACAAAAATGGAACAAAGACCCGGTTAACAAAACAGGATCTTCAATACGTATATTTCTATCCGCTTTGTAGAAAAAAAAATAACTATTTGTAAAAAAGAAGTATTCTCCTTGCAACTCATATTATTGTCATACTATTTATGTACTATCATTTTGATCACTTCTTGCCCTCTGTGTATATGTATCATTTAAAATGAAAACAAAAGACTTTCGTAAATCCAAACAGTTTGTTTTTGCACATGATAAAATATGCTGAAATCATAGGACAATTACTTGATATATGTATCAAGCTGTAGAAGGCATTCACAAAACAAATTCATATTTAACAATGATCATGGTAATAAAAAAAATAATATCGCTTAAATCATACGCCATATCAAACATCATCGGATTATATGAGTAAGTAGAAGTTACTTGTGGTTGTAAAATGGAGTGGGGGAGGTTGGTATACACGATAATGTAAGATAAAGATACACACAAAATTGAATGTTTGATGGTGATTATGAGATTAATTCACTTCACAAAAAAAGGTGATAAACACACCGGTGTGAAAGTTTACTGAACTGTTTAATAGATGACATACAAAAGAAAAATGGAACAAAACAAGTACCGATATCATAGAATTGCAGGAATGAAAAAATGCGATACAATCTGATTGTTTTAATGCTTGCTTGGAGATATTTTGTGTGTGAGAGAGAGAGAAAAAGGAAGGAATTTTTTGTTATCTATTTTTGTGTGTTTTGAGGTTAAGTATTTTAGCTAATTCTGTATCCCATGTAAGTACTTGTTGTCTAACTGGGTCATATTTACCAGCAATAAAATAATGATAGAAATTAGAATTATTATTATCATCATCGTCGTCATCTTCATTATCATCTGAAATAATTTCATTTTTATTGTCATTATTGTTTAGCGTAATCTGAAGTTTAGGAGGTTGATTAGTATCATTTTCATTGATTGAAGGATATTTGATACTGTGACTCGTTGATGTTAGTGATGGTGATGGCAATGGTTCACAAGCTTCAAGATTGATCTGTTGTATAAAAAAAAAACAAAAGTTGATATTTATTGTAATTATATTACAACTAGTATCCTATCTAGTTTTATAATTTTATAGGAATGAACCTTAATATAGAAATATGTGTACTTTCAAAGATCATTTAATGTCTGGAACATAGTATTCCAGTTGTTAGTAGGAATTTTCTTTACTCATGAAGAGAATTATGTATGAATGTCAAACAGACAATAAAAGGAACCGAATCGATTATATATATATATATATAAATTTACGGTATATTTATGTATCTGTATAAACCAATTAGACTGTGATCTTTAGCCTTTAGAGACTCGAAAATTCATTAACTTTTATGACCGACCAGTAACACTAATGAATAAACAAATAAATTGCAAAATCTTCCATTAGGTATTATTTTCAGCAATTTAGGAAAAATCGGAATCAATTTTAGAGATATATATTGAAACGCACTTGTTCGGTATCTGTATTAGGCGTGAATTCTCCCATGTTTTTGTCTAACTGTGTTTGACTTGACTTTACAGAATCCTGTCCTTTAGGTTTGCCATAATATCCTTGCATGAACTGACCATATGATTTAGCTATTTTGATACGTCGCTTGATGCACTTGGCTTCATTCTCATCTTTATGTTCAGTTGTAAATAGGGCACCTTTAACATCTTGTACTAATTGTCCATCTTTTCCAGCTTCAAGAGGTTGATAGTACCTATAGCAGAAAAATTCCATAAAGAAATTATATTTACTATTGGTTCTATGTCACATTTGGAATATGTGATAATAAACTCTATTTCTGAGAATAGTGCGTTCATGTGTTTTGAAGGGAAATCGATCTATTCATATACGTACGAATAAGTGATATTGTTACCTACATGGCAATATTATCATGGATAATTCATAGACAGTCTCATTTTGAATTACAGGTAGATGTGATTGCGAATGTCTCTTGTTGATTGACAGATACTTATAAAAAAGAACTATCCGAAAATCCGCACCGATTGTTTTCACAACTGTGATCATATCATCTTTCAATAGCTGAACCAAAGTTGCTGAATTACCGTATTTTTTTTACCAATCTAACAAGTAATTTGTGTAATTAGTAATCTTAAAAGAATCACGTTTTGAAAAATGAATTGTACTTTTTCATACAGTCAAAATGGGGTTATAGACAAAAGTCATCCGCTAAGTGTTTGGAATATACCAAACAAAATACAGTCTGCAAACATTTATTAAGGACGATATTAATATTGGTGAGTAATTTTAGACGAAGCTATCACCTGTATTTCAAAGTAATTCACTTCATAACAAGTAGTTATCGTTCTAGTCAGGTGACTGTCAGAGGTCAGCTCATTACTAAGTAGAGGGGGTTGGGGAAATTGTTGGATTCTATGGTTAACACCACGGATTAATTTTGGTTAAACTATTGGAACCATGAGGTACTGGTGTGAGTCTCTTCACTAGTGCTCATTCATGACCCCAACGGGGATCGAACACAGAGCCTTCAGGTCAAGCGGGTAGTGCTTAATCTATAGATCACTGACCGGGAACTTCGGACTATTCGTGGCGTTGCTGAACCATCTTCCAATGTTGTTGGTTTGAAACTGACTCCTGTCCGACATGGTTGAACTCCACTGATCACGGCTTTTCACTAGAACTACAAGAATTACCTCCGGAAATCAGTCAGTTCAAACTAGAGGTAGTTTTCTCATGGACTGAAATCAGTTGAGAAACAATTTAAAACTAGGGAATACGACATAACTGTTTCGTTATAGTTTGGAAGTATTGGCTCAACAGTCGATGTGACAACCGCAATTGGTGGTTTAAGACTTTGGAATACATAGCTTAAAAACATTCGGTCCTCATCTTACTCTAAACCTGGAGTTCCATTATTACTTTATATATCTCACATTGTCTGTTCGAGCCATATTCTCGAACCATATCTTGTTGATTCCGCTTTGTTGGTCTGATGTTGCATGACAACTTGGGTCACCTTACGTTTGTACCATGCTCTTCGTTGATTATGACGTAACTGACTGAATTAGGAGTTCAGAGGTAATGAATTTGGCACGATATTTCGAGGTCCCGGATTATAACCCTCATATGGTCGTCGGTATCCTTCTCTATTTGAAGTCGTTAGTCTATGATGGAAATTGCCATAATCAGAGTGGAATTTCTCTGCCAACTATTTTTGAACACAAAACGCAAATACGTGGGCTCTTATTGGTTGTGAGACCAGGAGTTTTTCTTCACGATCGAAAGCTGTGGTATAACTTTAATTTATATGTGGAATTTCACAACAAGAAAATAATAGTAATTACCATGCAGCGACAACAATAAGTGAATTCCTTTTTTGCTCCCAACGTATTTCTTTAACCTCTCCAAGATATATTTCGTTGCGCCCAGAGCCAAATTGTACACAATCACCAACTTTAACGATTAAACCATCTACATCACGTATTATTGAACGACAGTATATACAGCCTTGTTTCCGACGCTTAAACTGTTTTAAAACATGAAAGCCAAGATCGAGTAAAGCATGGTCTACACATCCACAATTAGTTATTTTTATCTATTAAATCAAATGTTCAGAAAGTGCATATATATGTGTGTTTTAATCTGGGGAATCGATATATCGAGGGTTGACTTAATCAGGATATGTGGTTGGAATTCCAGTGTCTCTGAACTCAATACAGTTTTTTTCATTTTGAAAAATGGGTTACAGTTATTCGTAACTATGTAGTACATTCCGACATGCCGGATAAAAATACAAATATCGTTAGACTTTGAAATGAAATCTTTGATGAAAAATGCACTATAATGTGGAACACTCACTCACCAAATAAACTGAGTATGACACTTAGTAAACATGTAAACATTACGGATAACCTCACCCTTCATTCTGATCATCTTTACGATTTTTCGAAAGACATGTCCTAGGTCATATACGTTACGTTGACAGACTGATGTAACACGATACAGGAAGTAGGTAAACTATATTACCGTTGAATATTTGATTCGTTGTGAAACATGTACACTATAATCTATTGCATAACGTCAATCGATTAGTAGAAGTCAGTTACAAGAAGATGTAATTCTATAGTCATTTACAAATTCATATATAAGTTTTGTGACGTGCGGCGTACGAAATCTGATACTGAAACACGGTATGCTACGCACTAACTCACCAACTGAGTACTTGAGCGGAAAAGTGTATTGGACTAAAGAATGAAATGAACAAATACTCGTTCATATATATGCCACTCTGTCCTTAGGAAACTGATCCCAATGAAATACACTTGAATTTTAGGTCACTTCTGACTGCCGTTGATTGACCTTTCGCTACCTCTGATTGGCTCTCCATATCAATAAACCATCAGAAACAACTGTAAAAATGAAATACCTCATATACCCCGCTCAATGATGATTCATAAATCCATCGGGAAACTCACCAACAAGGTGGATCTCCAGCTTTAATGGGAACTCTTGCTTCGTTGGAGGTAAGAAACTGTATTATTTAAATTTTCAGTACAACATGGCTATCAGTTAAGCTAATCGTCACATAACTGACTCAAGCTAAGCCTGAGATATAAGTATGTCAATTCACCACAATATGTTCCTAAATAGGAGGAATTCAGTCGTCAACCAGTAATACTTAAGACATCATAAGTGTCGTCAAGGTTGAAGGTAAATACTACTAAACATAAAGCTACAACTTTCTGTCGATTGATCTCATGCCTTCAACACTAGCTTCTCTTAGATAGAGGGTGTCTCAATCTGCGTATCACCTTAGTTACCTCAAATAGGTCTCCATATAATAGTAGAATTCTATTTTTATCCAAGAGTTGTCCATGTTTTGTGATAACAAAACTAATCATACTTATGAGTTAGCTTCATTCAGTCTAGTACGCAAAATTAAAAATTTTCAAAACTAAAGAAATTTTAATTGTCATTAGTTAAAATGAAAAATAAAGAAGAATGAAAAAAACGTTTTAAATAGATAATCGAATTTATACAAGAAAATATTGACAAAATAGCAGAAGAAAAGGCCAGAGAACTCCAAGCAGTAAGTTGACAGCTTCAATCTGGCATTCTAATCAGTTCAAACACTGTTACAATCCCCGGATCAACGATTTTATACTTCATAATATACTATTATTATGATTTGATACATATTTATACTTGTAATTGAGTGACCAAGTACAGGTTAACTCACTTTATTTGGAGCCATAATTCATCTAAGACAGCCAGTGATACTATCTAGTTATTTGTTTTTGTGTTAGTCCATCAGATTTCGAACATGAGTAGATGGAGTGAAGGTAGAAATAGGGACGTATTATTGGAATCATGAACTGATCAATGTTAGACAACCATCGAGAACCTGGAAGGACTGGACGGCCGTTCCGTTCTAGTATGAAAAATCCTCACCAGTGAGCATCCACGACCCCGCGCGCAGTACTCGAACCCAAGACGATCATTCCCACTTGTCTTCGGTGGGTCACCGCCTGACACCCATACAGGAACGTATTAGTTGAAACACTAGTATTTTAATAGTCGTTACCACATTTAGTCAACTAGTAGAATCTCTGGTCTAATAGTCAAAAATCAAGCATCTGAATAAGTACGTTCCAGTGTTACCTTTCACAATTAATTGATTGCTTATTATTTATAGAAAGATCTAAGTCTATACACAAAATAACTTGAAAATCTTACGTCTGATGTGTAATTTAAAATAAAAAAATTCTATTACCTTTTCGTACACTTGCCAGGATAAACACTCATTTGAACTATCGGTTGTTGTGATTGTACTTGAAATGGAAATATTATCCGCATTACATTCTTCAGGTAGATGGTTATTCGATGGATAAATCACCTTTTCTGACTTATTATTATCATTATCATTATTGTTATTGTCAGAACATTCACTCATGTACTTATCACTTGACATATGATTAAAACCAGCTATTGTCACTGGCGTTTGTAATGATGGAGGTGGTGACGGTGATCTTAATGACATGACTGATGTAGCACCCGTTGATATTGTATGTGTAGGTGATATCAGTGAATTTACAGTACACTCCATTGTTCTATTTGAACTTGATGAAGATAATTGAGAATTTTTTCTACTTCGATTACTTTTGATACGATGTGTTAGTTTATTTGAATTCTTTTCAGGAAAGAAAAATTTTGAGTTTAACATTAAGTTTGTGTTCATTTGTGGTGAGCACAAGGACATAGTATCATGAATAAGTGGAGATGCTAAAAATGAAAAAACCGACAATGAAATAAATTTAGCATAACGTATGAGGCTACTTGTAAGTAGTAAAAGTACATTTCAAATGAAAATTAGATCACCTGCTACTAAGTTTAGAAAGTGTATTTTAGTACGTAAAATATACGTGAACTTTAAAAAAAGTCACTGTATGAAATTAGGGATTGTATGCATGAGCAAATTTGGGCTGATATTTCAATGATACGGATAGATAAGTCACAATTGCGGAAGTTTAACTAATTTACACAATTTATTCAGTAAGGTTGTTAGTTGTGAGCTAAAGTAACCACCAATTAGTATGACTAAGCATCAACTACTGAGTCGATGTGACATTGATGGTTTTCTTATTTCAGCTGATAATCGAACAAAAATTGTAATTTCATGATTTTTTTTACTGAAGATAAGACACTGAGCCTGTGCATTCATCAATGATCTTCTACAATCCCATCACGTTATAATTTATTCAGAATAGAAGGACAGTGACTAGTTGTAGAATCCAGGATTCACGTTTAATCATATTTGCGACTTATCAGCTAGATACACTTCCAGTGTTGATGCTCACATCACGACTCGAACACGTCACCTTTATGCTTATACAAAAATGTCTACAGATGCAGTGAACTTTAGAAAAAATATTTGTTTTGCTAACCTGAATAATACTAACGATATGAGTAGTTTTAAATTGAGATTTAACACTATCTCTATTCCATGTATCAATATGGGTAGATTACTTACAAGTCAGTTTAACAGTATGTTTAGAACAATGTCTTAATGATCAAGGTAATTCTACATAGTTCAGTTTGTAAATGTAACACATGATAGACAATTTATTTATATATTTAT